TAGGGAGAGGCCAAGAGCCCCATGTAACACCTTTTCCTCTGGGATGACAACGGGAAAGCCTCTAAGCTCAGAACTTGAAACTGAATGTCCCTGAACAGTGAACGGGGGACAAACACACAGAAGCAGAGCAGGAGAATGGTGACACCCAGGGGAATGGAGATTTAGCGGAAGTAAAAAATAAAGGTACACTATCTTGGATCACATGATCTTCTACATCTAGAGGAAATAATGAACAACATAAACTGATGAACAAAAACAGACCCAGAGAAAGAGAAGCAACGATCAGACTCTCAAACCTCAGAGGGAAGGTAGGGGAGGGTGGAGGTAAGGGGGAGAGATCAACCAAAGGACTTGTGTGCATGCATATAAACCTAACCAGTGGCCATGGACAACAGGGGGTGGGGGTATATGTGGGGAGGGGTTTGGGATGGGAATGGGGGGGATGAAGACAATTACGTGATACCATAATCAATAAATAAAAATTTTAAAAAATAAATAAAAATAAAAAATAAAGGTACACCAACGACAATGCAAGCAGGCTTCTGTTCAAGACTCAGGATAAAGATCAGGCAGAGGCCGTTCCTTAAGGAAAAATATTGACATCTGCCGACAGAACGGGCGAGAAGAAAACACCCACGTATAAGTGGAGAAGATAGGGAAATCTAATCAGGAGGGAAAGCTCTGAGCTCCAGTTCTGCTGCCTTCCAGCTATTGGGCGACCTAACCTTTCTAAACAAGCAGTATGCTGCTTTCAGTGATCCTGCCCACCTCCGAATGGAAGTGATTTATGAAGGAATAAAGTTTTGGAAAAGGTTCAGAACAAGGGAAGGAAATGGCTCGGGCTCACATGTCTAATTCGCAATTTCCTGACACGCAGCTCATGCTGACAGTTTTAGTAGGAAGGAGCCCATCAGGGACATGTTCAGTTCTTAAATTCCTCTTTCTTATTCTATGAATTCATTTCCTTCCAAAATTATTGTGTAATATCTTACATACTCCCCGGCGGTAACCACCTGGATATATTTCTAGGATTATTTACCGCCTGAAGCAAGCTCTGTGGCTCACTGCCCCCTGCTCCCTCAGCGCACAGAGAAAGCGGAATGACTCTTTTCTCCTAGAAGAAAAGCCACAAACTCTACAAACTCATCTCCTAGTGAAGAGGTTTGGCTTACCTGCCAATTCTTAAGAAATTACAGTGTAACCAGAAAGACTTAAAGCGATTCTCACACACACTTCACACGTGCACACACTTCAACGTGCTGATTCTTTCTCCCCGCTCCCGCAGCTGCAGGAAATAGACCTGCTTTCTACTGGATGTCCAACCCCCAAAACTCCCGACGGGTCACCACCCATTGTCCTTATCTTCTCTTGTCATCAAATGATGGCTCCGTCCTCTTATTCTTTTCATATATTTTTATTGATTTCTGAGGGAGATAGAAAAATCAATGATGAAAGAGAATCATGGATCAGCTGCCTCTTGCATGCCCCCTGCTAGAGATTGAGCCCGCAACCATGTGCCCTGACCAGGAATCTAACAGGTGACCGACCCCCTGGTTCATAGATCGTTCAACCACTGAGCCACACCAGTCAGGCTGATGGCTCCTTCTTTAATGACGGCTTTTAAAACCCTCATCACCTCCCTACACACACGTGACTTTCATGTGCACTTTAGCAGATCTCCTGTGAGCACTGCCTTTACTTTCGGGTTACACAGTTTCTTCATATCTATAGTGTTACCTAAAAAAAAAAAAAAATTAATTAATTAAAAAAAAATAAAAAGTGCCTGCCCAGAAAACACTAGAAAGGCTTCCTGCTAAAATAATTAACCATGAACGCACTCATATTATATTTAAAAAAACAAAAAACAAAACCCTGGCTTCTCATGACTACATCTGAATTTATAAAAAAAAATACACAAAAAACAGACACTTGAATATTTAAAAGATGCAATAGGTAAATCTGGATATCTTTACTGTTTAAACTCTCCTGTGATCAAACTTGCTAATTTAGCAAATCCAACACTGAGAACAAAAAACTCATTTCCTATTCATGGCTTAAGCAGGCTGCATTTCCTATTTCTGACTTGACTTCCTAATTAAAGGAAAAAAAAAATCAACATTCTAATAAACTATTGATGGAATGTCATTCTTTTCTGCAAAACACTGAAATCACCACTCCAGGGGAATCAGAACATGGTTAGTGAGAATGATGGGAAAGAGTATCTGGTCCTAGGAATGAGTTGTGGATACCTTTTCAGAACAAACCTGGTTGGGTCCAGAGCCAACACCAGCTGGGTCGTGTGCCCAGCGAGTCACGTGTGGCGAGGCAGGGGCTGCCATGCCCAGAACAAGAGCTGTGCCACCCCGGCTCACCTGTGCGGCTCTCGTTCAGCGTCAGCCCCTCCATGGCCGTAGCCGCTCCAGGTGAACAAGGCAGGATAGCCAGTGGCTTCCCAGGAAGGAGCTCAGGAATCAATGTACAAATCGGTAAGTGAATCAGTACCAGGCTGATTCGCTTACCGGCTCTTAGGGGTTTGAAACTAACCAGAAAAAAGGGGGATAAAGGAATCAGCCTTTTGGTGGAAAACAAAGAGTGAGAATAGGATGGAGGAATATGAGTTTTCGGTAAGTGAATCAGTACCTTCCCAGGAAGGAGCTCAGGAATCAGTGTACAAATCGGTAAGTGAAATCAGTACCAGGCTCCTGTTCAGCCGCTTTTGAAAACGTAAAGCTAGATACACATTTTTTAAAGGAAGAGGGTAAAATGCACATGTGTAATTGCTAGTGAATCTTTGCATCGCCCTTTATAAATAAGAGGGCACTTCCTAGAAAAGCCTATTGCCTTTTTCATAAGAAGGCTTAGCAATTCTGTCATATACGTGGAAAAGAAAGGTCAATCGAAATCTCCAGAATTGGTTTACATTTCAGAACGTCTGAATTTCCTTTTAAAATTAATTAAACGTTATATTTGTTAACCAACACTCCACAACCCAGAAAAATAATCTGAATTTACCGCCAGGTGTCTGGACTCCAGCAGATGGCTTTAAGGTATATCAATCACCATATTCTACAGCAAATACCTTAGCTTTAGAAATGTGTGTCTTGGGCAATCAGATAGAAAACATACATAATACATGGTTACCTTTAGTCAAACACGCACACACGCTGCATTGCAATTGGCAACTAAATCAGAAATAAACGGTACCAGAGCAGTGATGGAAGTACAGGCATAAAAATCACCGAGAGAACTTTTAAAACTCATATTCCTCCATCCTATTCTCACTCTTTGTTTCCACCAAAAGGCTGATTCCTTTATCCCCCTTTTTTCTGGTTAGTTTCAAACCCCTAAGAGCCGAAATGTTTTCAACCTTATATGTAGGCTCATCAACTCATGAAAATCATAGCAATCAATTAAGGCTCATTTTATAATTTTTATATTTTAAGCATAACTATACATCTTAATCTAAATGTATATGGTGTGCACTGCATTTTGTAGAAATGGTAATGACAGAAGGTGACAGCACTACATTTTAAAAAAAAAATCTCACTCCCCCCAGAACCAAAATTCATTACTATAAACATACCTGAGGCTCGGTGCACAAAATTTGTGCACTGGGGCAGGGGAGAGGGGTTCCTCTCACAGTCCAGGATCCCGTGGGGGATGACAGGCCAAAACTGGCAGTCAGACACCCCTCTCACAGTGCAGGATCCCTATCAGTCTGGGACCCCTTGCTCCTTACCATCTGCCTGCTCGCTGGTCCTTAGCTCTGGGCTTGCTATTCCTTAGCGCTGCCAGAGGCGGGAGAGGCTCCTGCCACTGCCACCACCACTGCACTTGCCAGCCATGAGCCTGTAGTAGCACACTGACCACCAGGGGGCACTCCTGTGTTGAACCCCTGCTCCCTGCTGGTCAGTGCAAATCATAGCAACCAGTTATTTCACCAGTCATTCCTCCATTCGGTCGGTTTGCGTATTAGAGTTTTATTATATAGGAATATAAGTATGTTAATATAGCTTTATCTAGAATAGAAATAATCCAAATATTCAACAGCAGGGATTTGGTTAAATAAACTATAACATATGTTGTTGATGCAACTATTAAAAATTATAGACAAGAATATTAATTTAATTACACAGGAGAAAATATGGAAAGTATATCCAAGGCTTATGCTATAGTTATAAAAGCTGTGTGTATATGCTTAAATAACAATAATAATAAAAAAGATAAGAATGTTAATAGTTATTTTGGGCTGTGGGTTGACAATATTTCCAAGTAAGTAAAATGGAGGGGACAGACAGTAAGGAGTAGTGGACTGTGGGGAAGTGAAGCACACGGGCCTTTCAATAGCATTCAATGAAAAAACTTAGCACTATGAAGGCCAAATAAAACCACCAGTCCCTTTATGATTCCTGAATTTGGGAATTATTTTCTTCCTTGTGTTTCTGTACTTTGAAAGTTTTCTACGGCAATTATGTAATACTTCTGTAAGCAGTTATTTAGAAACTTGAAGACAGCCACATTGGTACAATTCTGGAAAAGACCTTTATATTTCATTGACGGCAAAGTATTTTAGTAATATTTTAGCCATGAAGCAAATAGGAATGATTTGGTAAGTCTGTAGTTTTAATAATGAACACGAGGCTCACGAACTATGGATTAAAGGTAGAGAAGACCAGCCTCCTTTTTTAAGGAATATGTCGAGTAAGGCTATCCCGAGGTCCCAGCAGAGGGCGGAGCGCCCGAGCCCACACCCAGGCTTGTGACACGAGGCTGTCGGCAGTCTGGCCAGTCCTTTCTAAGGGACTAAGCAGCCTTGGTGTCCAAAGGAAGTGCCTCCAAACAAAATCACAGCTGAATGGACAGGATAGCTACTGACGGGGAAACTTCACCCATCGGCGGGAGAAAAGTCAAAGGTGAATAGTGTAGTGCCTTCCCACTTCTCTCACAGAGCCATTCTTACAGAAACTCCCAGGAATCCATTAAAAAGCAAAAAGCATTAGTGTTGCAAAAGACAAGTATTTATTAGTTGAAAGATTTCCTCACAAGTCTTACTGAGTCTCATTCTCTAGGAGCAGAATGAACCACCTCTAAGAAGATACAGAAACACAAATAACTTTAATAATTTAAGGTAAATAAAAGAATGCTTGAATCTATGATTAGAAATAAAAATTACAAATATATCTATGCAGAAAGTACAAGTTTCAAGAGTCTGACATCAATCCACTACTATCAAAATAAGTATTTAAAGAAAGCAAAATTAAAACTGCTGAACAGTGGGAGGGGAAATACGAGAGAGAGAGAGAAAAGGACAGACCAAGAAAAGGAATGAAGGAAAGTGAGCAGCATCCCCAAAGGGGTTTTTACAAACAGGGATTCAGATCAGAGGAGCAGACACACACCTGTCCAGGAATGCGACCAATGAGCTAATAGAAAATGATGAAATGTCAGTTATAAATCAAAAATGACAACCCAAAGCCCAAAGCATCTTAAATTCTCCCATCCAGACATTATGTAACCCTCAGCTCTGTGTGGTGCTGGTGCTCATCACTCTCCATAAGAATGAGATGCAGGACAGACACCTCACCGGTTGGAGGTTCAGAGCTCACTGATCCCTGAAGGTCAGGGTTAGCAGTACATGACTGTATTCACATAATATATTTCTTGATATCGAAAAGTAACATGTCTCAGAAGAAACTAAAGTAAAATTTATTTGGAATAATCAGTAGACTCTTCAACTTTAAAATAAAGGATCTTAAAATGCCCACTAACTTCAGGCTCTCAGTATTCCAGTCCAGGGTCATCCAACTGTCCCTTTGGCCCAGGAGTGACCAAGCTGACAGGTGTCACAGTATCTTCCTTCCATGTCCTTAGAGTTTTAAGAACACTTCATTTCTAGGAAGACTTTAAATGACCTAATGTACCTTGCAGATCCACTAACGAGAACACTCAGACCGGAGTAACCCCCCAGGTCTCCCCATTCTCAAGTGGCCTCCTGCCCATTCCTCCGCAGCCTTGACTATTTTACTATTATGAGTAAATTCTTTCCACTCCTACCTCTAGACTTATTGTTATGGCCTTTTGTGCTATCTGGATAAAATCTGTTCTAAATAAAGTAATCCACAACTTCTGCCTCCACAGCAACCTGAAAATTTAAAAAGTAATAGTAGTAGTCATCATAGGAAAAGGAGGAAGGAAGGAAGGAAGGAAAGAAAGAAAGGGGGGAGGGGAGAGGAAAGGAGAAAGGAAAGGAGTAAAGGAGGAACAACAGTAACAAAAAACCTTATGAAGGAAGAAATTAAGACCTTTAAAAATTATTTTAGTAATAGGTAGCAAGATCTACCATTTGAATGACAATTTGCTAGTCTGGTGAGACATTGTAAGAGATACTGATACTAAAATATGTTGGAGAAAATGCTTGACTTATGTATTCATGGAGATAAATATAGCAGCAACAATAAGCAAGTGCATACAATAAAAATATGTGCCAAGAGCCAATGCTGACTTTCATCACCAAGGAACAGTTAACACTAAGGTTCAAAACATGATTTCCTGATAGAGAAGCAAGATAAAAATAAGGGATAAAAATGTAGCTCCAGACATCCAAGAAACTTATAAGAAACTAAGTTATAAGAAACAATGCAAAATGAATACAAATGAAGAGAGGAGAAGTTAACACCTACGAGGTACTGCATTTTCATAACAATAGATTATCTGACAATATTTTGTTTTGTTTACTAAAGAATGACAATTCCTGCTGGAGGCAGGCATAGATTATTTCATCAAAAAAAAACATTAAAAGAATGAGACATTCCTGACACCACCTGTTATATCAACTAATAGTTCTAATACCCTTTCATTAATCTTTGATAGCTAACAATTTGAGTACAAAGACATGATGAATCAAAACACGTATCAGGTTTAAAAAGATAATCCTTCAATGCAATCTCAGCATCTAGATGGTAAACACAGAATAATTTCCTAATCTGGCATAAGATTGTTTTTTAATTCAAGGAATTAAATGTGCATCGGTCTGCCTATTTATAAAAATGAGAATGATCAAAGCAGGGACATGGCCGGGCCTCACACTGCCTGCATTCTACCTGAAGCGTGCCTGCGGCGGAGCACTCAGCACTCAGTCAAGAGGGAGCAACTCAAAGGAGAGCACACAATCTATGAACCAGCTGGAGGGCGCCATCCACACTTTGCCCTGGCGGACCCTCTCGGGGCGGTGGCTGGACACGTCCTCGTAGACGATGTACTGCGTGCAGAAGCGCTGGTCAGAGTCGGGCTTGGCGTGGTAGGCGACCGTGTTGATGGTCTGAGTCACGTCGCTGTCGGGCTTGGGCTTTCTCCTGAGGATCTGGCCGCCAGCCGCAGTGACGAGCTTCATGAGGTTGTCCTTGGGGTGGTGTTTGAAGATGCCCCCAAAGTAGAAGTAGCATCCATCAAACAGCTTGGGCAACTGAAACAACAAAAGGAAAAAGCTTGTGCCCTAGCTGGTTTGGCTCAGTGGGTAGAGCATCCACCTATGGACTGAAGGGTCCTGGGTTCAATTCTGGTCAAGGGCACATGCCCAGGTTGTGGGCTCCATCCCCAGTAGGGAGCATACAAGATGCAGGTGATCAATGATTCTCTCTCATCATTAATGTTTCTATCTCTCTTCCTCTCTAAAATCAATTAAAAATATATAAATTTAAAAGAAAAAGCTTGTTAAAAGCAGATCAAAATATTTTAAAACACTGCATATAAATGAGGGAATTAAAAATACAGTCAGGAGCAGTTAAGAAATTACTTAAGGAGGCGCTAAGATGTGGTGTATTTCTAGTGAACTCTCTGAGTCAGAATAAAAGACCTACGTACGCATTGATAGGTTTCCTAGTTATACTTTTTCCCCCCGAAGACTCAGTCACCATCTCAGGTACTTTTGACTCTCATCAGACTTTAGATATGTTTTGTATAAAACAACCACACACGAAAAAAGTAAAGAAAAACTGTTCATCAAATTTCTTTTATCAGAAAATTAATTCCTATTTGGTGGGACCAAAAAGCCCAAGGATTCCTGGGTATCTGAACTATGCTTCAGGGATACCATCTTTTCCATGGATTGTTATCATTCTGCCCATCTATAGTCAGGGCCCTGTATAGTAACAGCCTAAGGCTCCAGGGCAGCTGCTCGGTGCAGCTCCAGGGTTAGAGATGTACTGCATGGAGCACAATACATTCCGAAGCCACGGCCAAGGGTCCAATTAGCTATGAAACGCACTTCTGTGTGCTTTATGAACAACAACAACAAAAAGTCTCAGAATTCCCTATACGAAAATTTTTCTTCTTCATCGTTTCTAATGCACATCAACAGGATAATGAACATCATCCATTAAAACCGCAATTTGTGGCAGTAAAGACATATGGGAACTAAATCCGAGCAGCAGCTGCAAGTCTTCTTTCAAGTTCTTTCCTGTATCTGCGAATTCACCTCAGATTCTGAAAGGTTTATGGCAACGCTTGAGATGCCAAAAACCCATTAATGGTGTGAAATTATTACCTTCTGGGTTTTACTGCTCTTCGTGACCATCTCTTAGAATCAAGTGCTTGAAATCAGAACAATTAAAATTTTAATCAGTCACCTGGACTCGTTGAAAGGGCAGGAGAAGTTTTTCCTGATGTGATAATAATATTCAGAAATAAGAACAATGAAATAGTAGCAAAAGGAAAATACCAGCTGTTCGCGGTTCAGCCTGCTTCTCTGTGGTCCTTGAGGAATCTCGTAGTTCTCTTCCTGCTCGCATTGTTTGCTTTGTAGACATGCCTTCACCCCTGACCAAAAACAAGAACGAGAAATAGATTATCCAGTGAGCATGGCTTCTTTCTCATTGAAAGTAAGCAATTTACCTAAGTGATTCTTCTTCGTGGTTAAGTATTTTTTCAAAATAAAAATAGAAACTTTACTTATGCTAAAACAAGTGTCATAAAATGGGCTTTCCATATAAAGAGAATATAAATCTTTCCTTCCGAGGACTGAGCAATGAAGTCATACTGACACTAGCAAATTTGTTTCCTTTCTGAAAAACCAAAATCAATACACTATTTCATACACAAATAAAACTCTAAGTTATCAAAAGGAAGGTGAATAAAAGTCCCATTTAGTTCAGCCCACAGCAATCTGAACTTGAATGCTATCATCCCGCATGCTCATCTTCCCAATCATGTCTCATCTCCTGTTGGACTCTGAGCAAAAGTGCTCTGGTCCACAGCACCTAGCTGAGCTGGCCACAGGTTAGGGCTCCATCCCGCAGTGCTTGTTACCATCAACAACAGGCTCCTCCCGGTCACGTCTCACCTGACATTGGACTAACTGACAAGGAAAGTGCTCGGGTGGCCATGTGACCGGGCTCCACAGTGCCTGATACAATCAACAACAAGCAGAGCCTACAACATGTTTGGGATCCCACAGGTACACACTGAATCACCCTCTAGAGAGGTCTTGGTGAGCAACACTGCCCTAGAGCTGCTTCCGTTGAGATGTTCCAAGATGCTGCTCCATACGTGAAAGTCAGAAGACTGAACAATTCAATACTCGGTCTCTCCAATAGCAGAGCTTTGTCAAGAGGCTAAATATTTTGCAGAGTTGGGGCTACTCATGCATATTCAAATGCAACATTAAACTGTGGCCAATCTATAATCCCCTATCTTGTGATTCTTAATTTGTTACTTTTGCCTATGCTTTGGTGTCACTTTCCCTCAAAGTTTTTAATAAAAGAATTCTATTTAGCCATGTTTACTACACTGAGTATCTAAATCTTATTCTTCTTACTAATTTATCATAAATGTCATGATTCTATATAAATTTTTTTACATGTAGTAAAACATATTTTACAAAGACAATTTTTAATCACTCAATGAGTAAAAAACTTTTTCTAATGAAGCTAATATTAAAATAGTAACTTTACTGTGTATGAAAAATGAACCTCAAAATGTCCGACTAGGTCAAAGTATTATCCCAGAAACATTGCCAGTGTGTTCACATTACATCATACACTACTTCCATATTTAACACCAAACCCCCAAAACATTAGCAATCTAGCTATATCACTGACTTACATCACACTCATTATTTTACATGTAAACTATTACTTCAGCTTTTTATCAAGCATAGAGCCCCATTTCTAAATCTTTCTTAATATTTGCAGAGCATTCATAACAGAATCTTTAGATCAATGAATATACCAACCTATAAAGCCAAGGACTTAACCACTTAACCCTGAACACTCCTATGTATCTACTGTAACAAATGGATGGCTAATGTCTAATTAAAGAAATAAATTAATGGGCCATGACTATACTTGTTGCTTATTCATTATGGTTTCATTTACTGTCAAAAAAAAGCATATTAAAACAGTATCTATCAATGCTGGTAATGTACTGACATTAGTCACTCAGCAGAATGTAGCCTTAATAGATACTAGAATGAGGTAAGCTGGCATCAAGAAAAGGAGATGGCAGGCACCATCAGGGAAGCGTGGCACCTCCCCAGGAAGATACTAGTGCCTCAGAGTGTAAATATGCTGCAAGTCATAAACCTTTCAGCTTTATGGCAGCTGTTCAGTAAGTTTCTGTGAAGTAAGGCAGAAAAATCCACAGTTAATTACTGAGCTGAATGAATACATTCCTCTGATACTCTCTTATTCTAAGGAACAATGTGCCAACTCTCTAGGCTACCTAATGAAGCTCCAACTAAAATAACATATAGCGTGTTTCCCCACTGAAAACTAAGGAACAGCATTCTGAATGGTGACAAAGTGCTCTGTGAGAACTGCTGTCATAGCATAAGAAACATCAAGAATTTCTTACAAGCTGGGAGTGACATCTAGTCCAAGGGTTGTTAACCATAATGTGTACAAGAGCCCGTCAGATTCCAAACAGCTGGGAAGAGCCTGGTGTTAATCAGCAGGAAGGTGTGGAGACAGCAGTGAGTGGGAAAATACACATCACACTCAAAGACACAAAAATTAAACGGGTGTGGACACAACCACATAAATTGTATCTGCTTTGGCCTGATGCTGCATCTAAACAGCCTCTTCCTTTCATAGGACTTGTATGCATGCATATAAGCATAGCCAATGGATGCAAGATGGGGGGGGGGGGGGGGGGGGGGGGGGGGGCATGTGCCAAGAGGATAGGGGAGGCCCGGGAAGGTCAAAGGGGAAAAAAGCAGACTTATGTACTACTATTTGTAATACTTTAAACAACAAAAGAACATTTTAAAAAAAGAATAACTGTTTTGATTAGAACAATCACCATATGACACTGTATTTGCTAGGTCTGCCTAACAGGTATAAAAGATCTGATGGATTAGAGTGGAGAAGTGCACACACACAGGTTATAATTTCTGTGACTAAGACCTAAGCCCTCACCTATCCAATTACTCTTTGGAAAAACTGTAAAGAAGATACTATTATTGCAACTTATTATTTCCAGAGAACTTGAATTCTGCTGAACAGACACACTGTTTTTAAAATGGTTATAAACAAACAGGTATCTACCTACTAATCTACTACTGTTTCCTTTTGATTATTTCTTTGCTGTTTGCATTCACACATTTATATATTATTGAAAGTAGAGGTATTAATTGTCCTATTCATTTTAAAACTGAAACAATCCTGTTTTCATACTTCAGTGTTAATAATCATATAAAAATATAATTCTTTTCAGAGAATGTTGCTAAAACTTACAGAATTTTCTTATTTCATATTTAGGTTATTCCCCCAACTTCTTGCTATTTATATTAATAAAAGTGTAATATGCTAATTAGACTGGACAGCCAAATGACCTTCTGGAAGTCATTCCAGACAAAGCCTCCCAGCAGGGACTGAGGCAGAGGCAGTTAGAGGCAATCAGGCAGGCAGGTAGGTAGGCAAAGTGGTTAGGGGTGATCAGGCAGGCAGGCAAAGGAGGTTAGGGGAGATTAGGTAGGCAAGTGAGCGGTTAGGGGCAATCAGGCAAGCATGTAGAGGTGGTTAGAGGTAATCAGGCAGGCAGATGAGTACTTAAGAGCAATCAGGCAGGCAGGCAGAGGTGGTTATGGGTGATCAGGCAGGCAGGCAGGCAGGTGAGCCATTAGGAGCCAGCAACCCAGGATTGCGAGAGTACAGGCCAGGCTGAGGGACACTCCCCCCACCCCCCAATGCATGAATTTCATGCTCCAGGCCTCTAGTTAGAAATAATAACACAAATAATTTTATTTTTTTGTTCTTTTATCTTCATTACTTGATTAGGGTAAATTCTCAGAAGGGAAATTATTAGGCCAAAGGATGTTTATTTTTATTTTTACAAAATTTCAGTAAAGAATTTCTGTAAGTATGAAGTTGCCTAATCAATCTTAGTTGATATAAATGCTTTGGTATATTCATTTTTTGATAATTAGCAAAGTTTGAATAAAAAAATTACATTAATTTTTTTAAAATTCCACAGCATTCTCAATATTCATTTGAAGAAATAAATTTCAATAGAAAAGTAAAAGCATATTAACCTGATTACAAGGTTTATAATAAAAAGACAAATAATGATTGTCTTTTAGGTTCCATCTTCCCCAAATTAAAACAAAAAGGAAAAACCACCTTATTTGGCCCTTCCGAGCACCACAGACTCAAGTCCAATGTCAACTGTTTGGCACCTTCCCATGGCAATTCCCTGAGGTGCCGAGGACTTTCAAAACTTCCACAGCAGCAGTTTTATTTAAACTTAAATGAGAATGGGGAAGAGGGAGAGATTATTAAAGAAAAGATGACAGCCATCTGTTCTCCCCTTTACAATGATGAAAAATGAAGAGGCGGAATTTTTTTTTTTTAATTTTTTTTTTAAAGGTTCGACTAGAGGAAATTTTGAAAGCAGTGTACTATAAGGGCAGGTCAAAACATATTTTCGCACTGACAGCTCATTTACATCTTTAGAATGCAGTTCTACCTTATTTATACTCTCAGAGATAAATGAAATGACATTTATATTTTTTCCATTATTTCATTCTAATCACCTCCCTACCAAAACTCACCCTTATACAGAGCTGGTTATAAGTTGCCTATGAGGAGGTTAGTCCTAAAACTAGAACTAAAATAGAATCTCAGCCAAAAATTTAATCTTAAAGAAGAAACTTTTCCTGTCTCTAGCTCCTATTTCTATAAAATATCTGAAAAATACATATAAGACAGAATGGTGCAACAGCAAAATTATGGCTGATTTTCCAAACCTCATGCTAAATCCAATAAGTGAACATTCTAATACACTCTCCACATACACCGTAGAAAAATAAGGGTTATTACCAACAAAGACAAAACATGTTTAAACAGAAAACTTCCAATAAATTGAACAGTTTTTCTTTTTGTTAATTTGTTTAATTTATTAAATAAGTCAATTATCCAGAGAACAATTAGTTTCCCCTTGAATCTCTGTAGTTTATGGAAAATCCCATTAAAATAGATTATATTAACTATGTTTCTACATAGTTAAGCCAGCAAAGATTTTGTCTCCAACAAAATGAATAACCTCAAATGCAATATCTAGTTTTAATGAGTCACAAAACTTTACAATTAACTTTGAAAGCTCTGCTCCATATTTTCTTTGATATACATGGTTTCCAGATAGTTTTGAATAGTCCTGAACTTTTTTTTAATCACACCGAATGCCTAAGACTAAGGATATAGAAACTGCAAGAAATATATATTAGCAAAAAGAGGTATTTTGAGCATTCTTGCCCGTTTTGTACAAACCCAGTGACTATTTAAAGTAATTGTCTCAAGCCCTAAAGCTATTTCTCTTTGGACTCTGTATTAGAAAGTATAGTGTTATGAATGTCTATCAGATCCCATCCATCCTTTACACGGAAAGAATCACTGATATTAGTATATGTTATTCACTACTGTGAGAATCACCAAATAGCATGCTATTAAGTCAGCTAGAGTACATCAGTGATTCTATAAAAATGACACTGACAAGCCATTCGATTGACAAAAACTTCCATTTCCTAAAGAAGGCAGATTTTATGGACATGAATCATGTAGCCTGTAATATGTAATCAAATGCAAGTTCAGCATATTCACAAGAACCATATACGGTACTCAAGTTAAGTGGTAAATGCCATAACTTTCAAAATTTCACATGGCTTTATTACTGACACCTTATTATTATGAAAATGTATTCCTTCCTGTAACCACTGGCAAGATTTCTGACACAGATTCAGTACAAAAGCATCTAGAATCATGGAATCATTTTAAATCAGTTTTTTAACATTGAGGCCCAGTAAGACTTGCCATGAATTTGAAAGGTAAAAAAAGTTAAAAAAAAAAAAAAAATAGGAATGAGACAAAAAAGAAAAAAAAATTTTTTTCGGACCATATTTTTTAAATTGGTCATGATTCAAAGAGACTAACAACAGAATGATGAGGTCAGAGGGGGTGCCATTGCCAGTCACATCCACTTAGCTGGACAGGAACATATCAGTGAAGACCAGCATCACAAGACAAATGGTAGCTGCATTTATAAAGGACATTTACACTGCCCTGACCTGGGAACTCAGTTGGTTAGATATTCGTCTTAATAGGCCAAGATTGCTGGTTCAATCCCTGGTCGGGGCACAGACAAAAAATCAACCAATCTACACTAATAAAAGAATAAGATGCAAATTGACTCTAACTTCGCAACTCCCACCAGCCAATCAGGAAGGGGTATGCAAATTAACCCAACAAAGATGGTGGTGGATTTGCATATGCAGGCGCAGAGCACTTGCATCATTGCCATGGCAATGAGACAGGCCTTCTGCACGGCCAGAGCTGCTCTGGGCCTCGGGGCATCTGGGCATCATAGGAAGGCAGAAAGGCGGCTCCGGCTGGAGCGAAGGCCGTGCCGGCAGCTGGGGGAAGGAAGGCCCCTTCTTGCACGAATCTTCGTGCGTTGGGCCTCTAGTAAATGAATAAATAAGGGGCACAACAAATCCATCTCTCTCTTTCTCTCTTCCTCTCTCTAAAAATCAATAAATAGCTTTTTTTTTATAGTACATGAATACAAAATGCTAAAAGGAAACAGTTTTATAAACCAAATCAACTTCAAACTATACATTAAATTAATAATAAAATTAAGATCTTAATAAATCAAGCATTTCTACCCTAAAAATTTCAAAGCACAAAGCCATAAAACAGAGTTTTTAAAAACTAATTCTGACCCATTATTTGCTTCTTAAAAAGAAAGTTTCATAAAAATATATGAAATGTTTCTTTAAATGTTTTATGTGAAATAATTAGATTCACAGGAAGTCCCATGCAGTTTCCTCCAGGGACCAATGTTAACATCTTACACAACTATAGCACAATATCCAAAGTCATAAGTTGACATTGATGCAATCCATAGCTTAGTCAGATCTCATCAGTTACACATGCACTTATGTGTGTGTGATATGTGTATGCCTATAAATATATAATTTAATTACCTTTGAAAGGTAACCCCCACTAGGATAAAAATACTCAAGACTCCTCCTTAACCCCTTTACCACCACTATTCTTTTCTACAAAAAAAGGTCAATCTATGTCCTACTTTAGCCACTGTAACCAAAGTAGATAATTTTGCTACTCGGGAGTAGAAAATAACCTTGTGTTAGTTTTCTTTTTATTTGTTTGTAAGTCCTAACTGAATCCAAGGCTAAGAAAAGCAAACAAGTCAAGAGTAGGAAAGGTGAAAGCAGCTCTGATAATGGTGTTATCTGACTATCAACAAGAAGCGGGTAATGGGGATACATTTGCAGCAAGGTCTAGATAATAGTTGATATAATTGCCCCAAATTGGGTGTTACACAAGGTACCGTAGTCTAAATTTCCCAGCAGTTTGCTAAAATATATCAGGTTAGCTGAGAAAGGCAAAGGAGTGTTTACATATAAGTTTTTAGAAATCATAGAGGAAAAGCAATAAAGTACTTTTATTCCCTAACAGTATATTTAAAACATGCATTTATTAAGTTAAATTGATCACTCAATAGTAATATGGATTGCTTGGGCTTAAAAAGTCTACTATACAACCCTAGGTTAAGTGGACAGAGCATAGGCCTGTGGACTGCAGGGTCCCAAGTTCTATTCCAGTCAAGGATACATGTCCGGATTATAGGCTCGATCCCCAGTGGGGGGGCGTGCAGGATCAATGATTCTTTCTCATCACTGATGTTTCTATCTCTCTCCCCTTCTCACTTCCGCTCCAAAATCAATAAAGATAAATTTTTTAAAAAGTCTACTCTACAATCCATTTACACATTATTAAAATAATTCGTATTGTAGAAAAAAATACTTTGAAACCAGAGCATATCTATAAGCATTTACCACGAACATCTAAATGATTCCATAAATATGACAAGCTTTTGTAAAATGCAATACTAGCCAGAGGTAAGAAAATTAGTATAAGTTCCTTTAATAATTATTGGCAACAGTACACTATGAAAAATGAAATTAGTCTACTTAATTCACTTTTTAATTCTCTCAAATCTACCACTTACATTCAAATTTTAGGATCCAGCATCCATTGAGAATCCCAAGCATACATTTCAGGGTACTTTGAACTGTATCACCAGAAATAATGACATGAGTCACTAGAATACAAAAAAAGCAAAAGGAGAATCAGATACAGAAACCAAAATAATTACTTTACCAGTCTGCATTTTATAACTAGTCTGCACCTTATAAACTTCTATCTGGATTTTCTTCAAAAACAACAATTTGTAAATGTAGAAGCCTTCTTTGGATATCATTCTGAAGTTGGGCCACTAACATGAAAAATCATTTCATAAAGCAAATATCTTAAAAGTCACACTAGCCTATACCATATTTTCCCCTTTATTTTCAAGTCTAAACTGGGGATTTAAAGCATTACATGCACTACAATTTATTTGTCATTAGCAAACTCAAAAGTTTGCTTTTCTGACATATTGTTCTGTACTAAACTAAGAGCAAACTTTACATTTCCTAACCAAATTAAGCCTATAAGTGGTTTATCACTATAGGAAGATTTTAGATTTATTACAAGATGAAAAGTACATAGTGATAACCCAATGGAGTTCTACAGAGGAATCACCTGTTTAAAATTTTTTTTCTACCAAAAATGAATGAAGAGTCCTCACCTGTACTGTCAAACTCGGCACATTTCTTAGCCTTAAGAATGGCTGCCAGCTCACTGAGCATGCCCTGTTGTTCTGAAGAAAGCCCACTGCCGATGAGCACAAGAGGCCCATCCCTCCGCTGGGCAGCAGGCACCTGGGAATAAGGGAGATGCCATGTTAACAATATTGAAGGACCAGAGCAAGAAAGAAGCTGACCTTCACTGATGTAAGCTTGAATTTCATTACTTAGCTTACTCTATACTAATTCCCAATATTTCCATTCATTCATCACTCAAAACCTTAATGCTCAATCCATTTAAATGACCGTCCTCTCCCCCTCCCCATTTAAATATTATGTGGGATAGCTCTTTTCTCTCGGGGCATCTTGTTTCCTTGATTCTAAATTGCATCTCTTTAGGGTATTACAACTTCTCTGTCACTAACAAGTTTTTTTTGTTTGTTTGTTTGTTTGTTTTTAAAGTAACCCCAAATACCCATTTAAAATAATCAATTCCCTGTCTCCACTCCACTAACTTATTTTAATAGAGTTGAACTCAAACTTGGTCTATTTAGTTTGAAATAAATTATGTGAAAAATAAAATATAAAAACACTAAAACATCTAGAACAGCAGTAATCTAATAGAGACCTATTTTTATCCCTGGAATAGTTACTTTTCAAAACCAAGAAAATAAAAATAGATAAGAGAATACAAAAGTTATACCAGATTCACCTTAGTAGTAAGTCAATGAAGCTCATGGGAAGGAAAGAAGTGCTATAGAAAGACTGAGGCCGAAAGCGGTTTGGCTCAATGGATAGAGCGTCGGCTTGGGGACTGAAGGGCCCCGGGTTCTATTCCGGTCAAGGGCATGTACCTTGGTTGCGGGCATATCCCCAGTAGGGGGTGTGCAAGAGGCAGTTGATCGATGACTCTCTCTCATCGATGTTTCTAGCTCACTATCTCTCTCCCTTCCTCTCTGTACAAAATCAATAAAATATATATTTTTTTAAAAAGAAAGACTGAGAACTGTATTACTGAAGATTAAAAAAGACAAAAATAAAGAGAAGTCATCAATGGATGGCATTAGGGAAGAGAATTGAAAGCTTCAAAAAAAAAAAAGTAAAAAAGTAATAGGACAGATAGTGTATCCAACAGTAGCCAACAGAAATTTAATAAATGGAATTGGAATCAGAATTAGCTGAAAGTTATCTGATTTTTTTTAAAAAAGCAATGACTGAGCAATGAAGAAAACAAAAGGTAAACCAACACAAATGTATTAAAGGATAAATCTAAAGAACAAGAGTGCAATTTTCAAATACAAGTCCTAGGGTTTTATCTGTGTGAGTCTATGTGTGTACTGGATATCTGGCATCTCAAAGCTCCAAAGAAGAGGAGTGAATCACTGACAATATGACCACCAACCCAATTCAGCAACTAGATTAGAGAAAGCTGGCATTTATACATGCACTTCACCTATCATAGAGATCACTCATCCAGTCTGATGTCCTACAATACTACATCTACATTGTTGGCTACATCTATAAATAGACCTCAATAATTCATTTTTTAAAATATATTTTTATTTATTCCAGAGAGAAAGGGAGAGGGAGGCAGAGAGAAACATCAATGATGAGAGAGAATCGTTGATACATTGCCTCCTGCATGCCCTTTCCTGGGGATCGAGCCTGAAACTGGGGCATGTGCCCTGACCCAAAATCAAAGGAAGCCACACGCCTATATGAGACAGTGGTGAAGGGAGGGGGTAATAGACAATTGGCTTGAATAAGCAGAGATCTGAGAACCATGAGTTTCAGAAGACATTCAAAAAACACCCCAAGCCCAGCCAGCATGGCTCAGTAATTGAGCGTTGACCTTGAACCAGTAGGTCAGGGTTCGATTCTCCGTCAGGGCACATGCCCAAGTTGTGGGCTCCATTCCAGTGTGGGACATGCAGAAAGCAGCCAACTCATGATTTTCTCTCTCATCACTAATGTTTCCCTCTCTCTCTCCCTCTCCCTTCCTCTCTGAAATCAATAAAAATATATTAAAAAACAACAACAACACACCCCAAGGGGTTCAATACCCTGATCTGATAGCGATCAGATACTATGTACACTGCCATTAAACTCTCATTTAAAGCAAAACTGAATATGGAATGTCTTCTTAGATAAATCACTTATTCTTAATTAATGAGTTTATAAAAAAATATGGTTTAAGAACTATGAAAAGAAGGAAAAGGACACAGAAGTTGCTCAAAGGGAGCATGGGCAGAGAATTCACAATATGAACCCAGAAAGCAGCATTTTAAGTCTTGAAGCTTCAAGACTGCTTCTCAAATGTAAACATGCTTCCCAACAGCCATTAACCTGCACTTGAGACTAATAAAACTTGTACATGGGAAGTAGAGAAACTCACCCTCACCCACTCATCACCCCTTCTTCTTCCGGAAGCTTCCTGAGGCAGCTCGCAGAGTTTAGAAATCACTGACTTGAAGGATTTCAGACTCAACAATGAAGCACTTGTGCTTGTTTCAGGGGCAAGTGTGTATCATGAACAACCAGCCCTCCAGAAGTCATTCGTGCAGGCAACACAAACAGAGAGAGCCGCAATCTGCCAGACACTGTTCTGAGTACACTAAAGAGCAAGCGCCTGCCCTCACACAGCTCACATTCTAGCTGGGAGGGCTGGGGGTGGGGGTGAGGGAAGCAACAAAATAATAAATCCTGTCCATCCGGCAGGGGCCAGTTCATATACTGGAAAGCGGAGCTCTTCGGTGAGATACAGGTGGGTCCAATCTGCCGAGTACAGGGCCATTTGCACTTCTGGTCCCACGTTTCCTGGCAGAGGTAAGAGCTAGTGCTAAGGACCTAAAACGGGGCATGTTTGGTGGATTCAAAAAACTGCAAGACAGCCCATGTGGCTGGAAAAGGATGCATGAAGGGAGTCTGTACGATTGGAGGAAGGCAGGTCCCACAGCTTAGCTTTTATGATTGCACATAGAGAAAATCCCTTTCAACTTAGAACTTGTCGTTGGTTACAGTATCTACCTTTACTATGAAGTATCTACTATTAAGATAATAAATAATGATATTCACTGGCCATGTCCATGTGATACACACAAAGTATAGGTCTCCTCCACTTACGAAAAAACACATTAGTAATTGGATAGCTGAAGTGAGAGGAGGATAATCACGTTGAGTCTGAGGCATTCATATCCTCAGACTCCAAAAATTTCATAAAGATATCTTTATTTTTGACACATTAAAAATAATATTTCTCTGGCTTTTACATTAAAGGAACATTGGCAAATGACAACTTAGTTATGCTGTGTCCTGCCAGAAGAGTTCAAGTTCAAATGAATAAAATAAGCACCAATTTATAGTTGTTAAGTATGCTGAGACTGAATGAGTACTGACCTAATAATTTGTGTTCTAACGGATCCATTCAAAAAAAATTTTACAGCTGATTAACCTAGGGCAAATCACAACCTTTCTAGGTCTCATTCCTAAATTGAGGAAATTAACCCGATTTCTAGGTTCTCTTCCAGTTCATTACCACTGCCCTTATTGGACAAGAAGTCTTCCCTAATGGTCCTAGATGTCAACTTAGCCTTTTTTCTTATTTCCCCAGCTGAGCAGTTGCCAAATATAGGGAGTCCACCATCCATCTCTCCAAAACGCTCTTCTCCTCCCCATCCCACCTCACTGCCGTCACCTGCAGTCCAGTCCTGACACTGCACACCTGGGCTCCGCCACAACAGCTTCCTCACAGTCTCCAGTCTTGTCCCACTCCCGCCCACCCTCTGCAGTCCCACTCCATTAAAACACACTGACGGTGCCCCACTGACCAGGGAAATAAAAGTCAAAACTCCTCCTCAGGAAATTCAAAGCTTTTCACAATCTGATCGCAACCTAGCTCTTCACTGTCAGTTCCTCTTTTACACACCGTATGTCCTCTCACACCAAACTCTTGTTTCTCAGATGTCCAAGGTCTATGCTTCCTCATCTCGGAGCAGCGGTTCCTTCTATTGGGACTGCCACACTTACTGTGTATAGCTGATTGCAGTGGGCAATGCTGGTGGATTATTTTATTTAGATTATCTTACACAGTTACAATGTTCCCTATCTCCCACTAAAACGTAAGCTCCTTGAGAATAAAAGTTATATCAATTGGATAAATGCTGCCTAAAATATGGAGGCGGGGGGTGGGGGGGGAGTTTCAACAAATATTTATTGATTCATTTATTCCAATTATGTCTTCAAATTCACAAGAGCTAATGCACAGGAAGTGCTCAATAATTGTTTCATGAATGAAAGCAATTTGCTAGCTGGAAAATTTTTTAATTTTGCTTCTTTAATAACCAATTTCAGTAAAAGAAATTTCCCAAAGCTAAACCCACTTACTACTGAGCAATGGTGAGTGGCTGAGGATTCATTCTCTGGCGGCAGCAACAGCGATTTCATAGTCTCCCCTTCTGCATAATCCACAGGCCGCAGACCAAATATGTTACTAGCAAAGTAAGTACAAGTGGGTTAAGTACATAAAATATGTGATTTGATTCTTAACTAAAGGAATGCACCGGCAAAATAGTTTTTTCAACTTCCTTAACACATTTTTTTTTACTAAAGAAATGACTCAGAATTCACACAGCAGCTCAATTCAACAGAAAAAGAGGTGAAACTTCAATTTGACACCAGACAATCACAGAGGGTATTTTTAGTTGAATAAGTTGTTATTTACACATGAATTTTTTCACAACTCTGTATTCTTGTGTTCATGTTAATATTTTAAATCATTAATCACTGTGTGAGATGTTTTCAAATGCAAATAAAAATAATTTACTGTAGCAATTATAGGCTCTATCATCTATATAAATAAACACAGAAACCAGAAATCAAATAAATTCACAGGATAGGTAGTTGGGTCCACAAGAAGGAAAACCAATGCCACATGACAAACAACTTAAAGTAGTGACTTTTAAAGTTAACTTTAAGAGGTATGTATACTACTCTTTGCAATAACCACACCATCACAGAACACACTGGAATGGTTCAGAGAACAAGCAGACTTCTCAACATGTACTCTCTAATTCACAGGTCACAGACTATCCCACTGGAGGAGACATTATTCACACACAACGACTGCTGTTTCAAAGATGATAAAACAGACAGAGAAAGGTCCAATGACTTGTTTTTCTTGTCCATTAACAGTAATACTCATTGTTGCCCATCATTAGCCTTTCATTTATTAGTAAATTCTAAAAATTACACAACTCTTGTCTACTAATCTACTTCCTTACATACAATTTCAAAATTATTTTAATATACTACACACCATGGCAGAAGTTTTCTAAATAACTATTTCTCTTGTAACCTTTTAAATATTTTTTATTGATTTTTAGAGAGAAATAAAGGGACAGGGAGAGAGGCATTGATGTCAGAGAGGAACACTGATCAGTTGTCTTCTGCACACCCTTATTGGGGATGAAGCCCACAACCCAGGCATGTGCCCTGACCAGGAATCAAACCTGCAACATTTTGGTGCATGGGACAACACTAATGAGACATAATCTTTTATGGTTTTTAAGATTATCGTATATCCATACAACAGCCACTAAAGTTCATGTGAAAATGCAATATATTAAAAGGACATAAAATGATAAATATGGTATATTACCAGATTTTACAACTGTATTGAATGTGTAGAAAAAGACCCAGAAGAAAACAGTGAAACATTAGGGGAAGAGGGAGGAGGTGGGGGTCACCTCCGATACTGAATGGAGGGCACTTGGATGAGAGACACACAGGTAAGAGACAGAAGCATCTATTGGGTTTAGGGACAAGTCATTAAAGACCTTAGAGGAAGTTGTTTTGATGGCACAGAACGGGGAAAAGAAGCAAATGAATTAAGAAACAAATGTTTCTCTAATGGCTGCTATCCATGACTATTGGGTTTAGTCACTATCCCTTATTGGGACAGTGCCAGGTAAGCACTGATAGATTTGTATTTGCAGAGTCCCCTTTGTGCCCAGGTTTAGGTATGTGTGACCTCTCTCTGGCAACAGTCTTCTTCCAGATGAGGTTTACTACTATCGACTGCACTTCAGCTTTCTGGTTTACAACAAAGCGACACACTTCTCTGTCCTGGAATGTGGGTCTTCACAGATTCCCATGTAGTTAGAGCTGACAATCTCAGCTTATTTCAAAAGTAGCTGATCTCATCACTACACTGATACTTCTCAATTGCATTCCCTAAATTATTATGCCCACATGTCAACGATCTCTTCACAGACATACTCTGTAAGTATGATAATAAAAAAATGGAAATCAGAGTTCAAAAACCAACATTCCAGGTCTTAAATCACCAAGTGCAAAAATGAATAAAAACGAAAAAAGTCATAATATATGCCATAAAAAAAAAAAATCACTGCACACATAAAGACTTTTTAACAAAGACAAATGCAGAATTTGTACTTCAAAGAAATAAAATGTAAGAGCCCAATCCCATGTACTTGAATGCATAACTATAGCATACTTACTTTATATGAATACAAATCAAGTCTACAGTAACAACATGAAAAAAATGTTAATGAAAGTACTTCCCAAAGTACCTGACCATCAGCTAATGAGCACTTTAGACCAAAAACTAACAAATAAAACAATGGTCTCATAAGATGCTTCTACTGTCTGAAGAACTGCTTCATTAATGACTAGTAAGAGTCTAATTTATGTTTACAGTCCTTTACACAAAGCTTACTATCTCATCTGGTCTTTAACACTGTGGTTAATCTACTTAGATTGTGATTAGTTTCTAGTTAAACACAATTCACTAGCCCCTTAGCCTTTCACTAGCCCCTTAGCCTTCCTGTATTGTTAGTGAACTAGAGAATGGCACATTACAAATGCTAGTTTGAGAGATACCAGGTGTACTGGTTAATGCAGATTTTTTTCAATAGATGGAGTTACACATATGTTGATATATATATGCAATTTGATATGTATGCTATTTTTTGTATTGACAGCACCTTGCTCCTTCAGATCACCACTTGTTCTGATCGATGGCACACGCACTTTCTAAGCAGCACTTCAACACATACAAAGAAGTGGAAAATTTGGTCTCTGAATGGTTTGCCTCAAAACAAGAAAAGTTCTATTAGGACAGTATCCACAAATTACCTGAAAGATGGGGGAAATATGTAGCTAGCGATGGACATCACTCTGAATAAAGCACTTTGATGTTTCTCTTAAAATTATTGTGTTTTCCTTGATTATAAAATCCACATTATTAACCGGTACACCTGTAATCAGTTAAACCTATTAAATCCTCATGTTTCTGTGATGTTGTGGACCACTGTAACTTGGAATCAGACACAAGATTTTAAATGGCAACTTCATAAACCAGAGCAAGAGAAGGCAGAGCATATGCATAATTTCTCCTTTCTATTATAGGGGCACAAAAAAGTCATAAAACCTTTTTTCCTCCATATTGATATATTTGAATGAGCTAATACTTTGCTCACAGATTTTGAGTAAAAAATCAGTTCAAAATGTTCAAAATTAAATGTATTCTTTAAAAAAAAAATAGGTAACACAAGAAGAAAAAGTCACATGTCACACACAGGGACTACCAATATGATTGTTTTTTAATTGAAGACCATGATAAATCTGTTATTCTCCATTGCTACATAGGAAAGATATATATTTTTTAGATCTGCCACAACACCATAGACTCAGGCTAAACATCAATAATTTCATTAGAATGAGTTCCTAAGGAAGCTTTCAGACTGAATTTTATCGAAATGTTAATAAATATAACATATTTTCTGACATACTTTAACCTAAAACCTAACATGTAAACTAGGTATTTTGGAGAGATACGTAAGACTTAAAAAAATATTAACCTTAATCTTAAAGGAGATATATTCATTCAACAGATAAGTATACAACTAACAAAGTATACACCAAAGCACAAGTAATGAGGTAAAATGAGTTCCAAAGAAGGTAAAGAACACACATTAGCCAATAAAATGGCCTTAACCCCAGGACTAGACATTGGAATGTAGTGGATGAATGTGATGGGTGTGTGGAGGGAATAGGCCACATGACTGCTGAAATGAATGAATGAATGGAAGAAAGCCTTCCATCAAGGCTGAGAGTCTAATCACTGCATGCTCGTGCGTAGGAGCCAAATACAATATGGAAATTGATGAAATAATCAGGCAGGAAGCAATGGACATTAGAGACAAAGACAGCATGTAGCTGTGAAAATGGAAAAGCACAAGCGTCTACTAGTTAAGTTCTCTATGGGCCATATGGGCTAATGTAACACCAGGCTGTGCTCAGAATGTGGAAAAACATCAGCATCTTCACTGTTGATTTTACATGTAGCGCATTATATGTAGATTTTACATGTAGCACATATTAACACCTGTCATATGCACCACTTCTAACAGTTCAGTTCTCTGAATGCCCTTTCAAAGGAAGCCTCTCAGAATTCAGTGAATTCCAAATGATTAAAATGATTACACAGATGATATGTTTTATCTACATTAAACCCTAAAAATGTATTTTTCTGGTTATTGAAAGATTACAAAATCACTAACCAAGAAGATACCGCTTTGATTCTGATTTTTTTTCTGTTCCTTCACAACACAGTACATTGGAAAATTTTACCAGTTTTTTCCCTCTAATGTATTCTTGCTCTATTCCTTTAGCTGTTATTTTCCATCAGAATCTTGAAAATATATTTCATATAAAGCTTTTAGTAATTGAAGATTTTAAACTTACTTTAAAGTCTTTGCAGAAACCTAAGTGTTCCTAAGTTATTGCTTTTTGCCATCGAAGCTACTAAGAAATACTGGAGAACCATTGCTACTGATAGAAGTTAAAAGATTCAAGAAAAAATGGCTGTACAATGAATATACATACACATAACATACATATACCAGAACTAGCAATAATCATTTAATCATTATTTACTTTATACACACAGAATGAGAACGTGTATGTAAACATGGGGGTTATGAATATCATTTGGTAATCATCTTGGCAAATATTCATCCAACAAGAAACTCTAAGAACTCTTTCAGTCACTAAAGAACCAATGAGCTTCTGTCCTCACTGAGCTCAGTGGGACAAAGCAGAGGGAAGCAAATAGGAAGGACTTAAAACTGGTAAAACTTCCTAGACATGAAAGGAGAAGGAAAAGAAGGGGATAGAGAAGTAGAATACCAGTATTCCAGGAGAGAGGAAAGAGTGAGCAAAGGCACTGAAGAGAGCTAGTGGGGCAAATTAGAACAAAAAAAGAAAGAGAAGAGCAAGAAGACAGAAAAAGAAAAGGGATAAAGAGAGGAAGACAGAAAAAGAAAAGGGATAAAGAGAGGAAGGCACAAAGAGACAGACAGACAGACAAAGAGAATGCACATGGGGAAGGGATGCTCTGGAAATGTAAGCTGTGATTGATTTTTCACCTTTAATGGTACCAGATTAAGTAAGAACAAAAGGGTGGTATTAGAGTTGGACTTTATCCCAATGACACCAAGAAACACTAAATAGCCAGCTGTCTTAATGGTTGTAAGCAGAAGAGATGGCATCAATAGAGTATGATAGATAGAGCTGAGGTCACAGAATCAGATGGCCTGAATTTAGATTCTAGCTTTGCCACTCAATAGTTGTGTGACTTTAGAAGAATTAACCTATTGTGCCCATTTCCTCATCTGTAAAATGGGAACAATAATACAACCTACCACTTTATAGGGTTGTCGCGAAGACCAAATGAATCCATACACCAAAAGCACATAAAACAGTGCCTAGCAGATAATAAAAGCTAATGATTGCTAGCTATTAACATTATTAGATTTGCCTTTTCGGAAGACAGGACCCTTATCTTCATTTTCCCCAACATTATAATGCACTTCATATGTGCTTTGTAATGATATGATGGAGGATTACCGAGGAAAAGTAGAACAGCCTGTTTTCTTAATAACATGAAGTAATATTGAAATAGATATTCATTTTCTTGTGCAAATCTAAAGACACACAGCATATACTAGTTTACCCTAAAAATACTTTTTCTCTAATATTCTTTTTTATCACTAAGACTGATGAAAAAGAAATACTTATCCAATGGTTAAACCACAATGTTTAAAGGTTCACCCCAGAAGTGGTGTTCAGAACACAGTATAACCCTGTAATGTCCTTTCCCCTCAAGAATGATATATTAGGCACCTGCCTACAACTGTACCTGTGATGAGCTACACCACTATTAAAAGGGGGGAGTGAGAGATGGGCACATTTAAACTTGCACTTGGCACATACAGGTCACTCAATCTTAAACACACGTAAGCAAAAAGGCATTTTTACTGATGCTAAACCTATCACAACTGACAGGAGATAGTCCATGAATAAAATCGTCATGAAAAAACATGAAATTGCAAGCACATAGGTTTTAATTTTTCAAGTCACTTGGCTTGCTGTGAAGCAGAGGAAAAGCAGAGAAATTCAAAAGAGAAACATGTTGTTTTTTTTAAGCTATAAAACATAAATTATCTGTTGTAGGAAATTAATTTTTAAAAAATTAAATTTGGTAGGGCAATTGAAAGAAGCAATGGTGCATATAATATTTTCTAATTAAGAATTCTGCACCCTTCCAAAGAAATCTCTGCTAATGGCAGATCAAGTTCCAAATCCTAAACCGCATTTCTGTAAAAAAGCATGATATTCTCCATGCACTCAGAATGGCTCTGATGTGGCTGAGGAGCTCTTGTCTTAGGCTCCCACCAGGACACAGTGGAAGGAAGGCAGTGGGGAGGAAGGACCGTCAGTGGAGTTCTGAACAGTTACCAACAGAAATATTCTCAGGCAGCAAAGAAGTACAGAAGATATGAACTCTTTTCTCAATGTCTGAGGTTAAAACAGAATGCATCTATCTTCTTGAAAAATGGACTCTTATTTTAGCACACTAGAGGTAAATCTGTCATGAAAATAAAAGTTCAGAGTTAAAGGAATTAAAACTAAATTCATATTTAAGATGCACTTAAAAAAATGCCAAAGTTTGCACAGCAAAAGTTCAAAGCACATAATAAAGCACTCTCAGTAAAATGGAACTTTAAGAAAAATCAGTAAGGTGTTAGAATATTAAAATTCAATCAAAGCAAAAGGTAAGGTCTCAAGTAGATAGATGGCCTTCTACTATAGACATATTTCCTCCATAATCATAATGATTTAAGGCCCCGAAACCTTGCAGTAGGAAAATTCATTGTTGAAGATCGTAGCCTCTAGGGAAAATACAGTTGGTGAACCTATGAAAGTCCTAGATCTTTTCAATTAAATCATGAAGATGGCAAATAAAGTGTCAGTATTTTAAATTCACATTGCATATGGTTAATTCCTAGATACCATGACTTGCCTTATATGGTTTCAAGATTTCCCTCCACCGGTATTCAATAAGAGGCTTTCCAGTTCTCTCGACTTTGCAGTAGAGAAGTTCCATTCTTCCTTTCCTAGGCCTGGCCTTCCATAACCATTCGATGCCTAGCTATATTACTGAGTGGACTCTTCCCACTTCCTGGGCCACAGAAAGGCTCTCAGTAATCTTTATATTTTATAAATGACTACTGAGAAGACAGTTCTTGAACCTTCCACCAATATTTAAAGTCATGTGGTGTTAGCATCATTCATGCAATTTAACAACAAAACATAACAGATACAGAACTTTCTAAGGCAGGCCAGGCCTGGGGACCCTACCTGCTCACACATTTCGTGTGCCTCTAGTAAGAAGATACTATGAAGCAAAGATACTACTGCTTAAGTCCTATGACTGGAAGGAAACGCAATATATGGACAAAGGAATCAAGAGAGGTCAGGCAAAAGGAAATGCTGAGATTAGAAATTAGCCACCAAAAAGAGTATTCCAGACAAAGAGAAAAAGTCTATTTAAAGGCTAGAAGACAAAATAGTCTAGCACATTTTAAGGACATAAAAAGTTTTAAAAGGTCACTGCAAAAAAAGGAATGAAGGAGGAAGTGTAGAAAGACAAGGCTGAAGAGGTAAGTAGTGTCAGACCGTCCAGGGACTTGAAAACCATGTTGTAAAGTTTGACTTTTATTTTAAAAACATTAGGAAGTGCCAGTGAAGCATTTTAAGCAAATAAGTAATTTGGCCAAGCTTTTATTTTTTGAAAGCTCGTGGGCTGTAAAATAAAAAGTAATCTGAAGAAAAAAAAGACCAGAAAATAGTGAAGCCAAATAGGTGAACAACACTATGAAATAGAACAGAAAAGAAAATACTTAAGTGTGATGACTAACAGTCTGGAACAGAAGGAACAACAACATTTAGAAATAGCTACCACACTATTAAACCCTAGACCCGTGGTCAGCAAACTGTGGCTTGCGAGCCACATGTGGCTCTTTGGCCCCTTGAGTGTGGCTCTTCCACAAAATACTATGACCTGGGCAAGTCTATTTTGAAGAAGTGGCGTTAGAAGAACTTTAAGTTTAAAAAATTTGGCTCTCCAAAGAAATTTCAATGGTTGTACTGTTGATATTTGGCTCTGTTGACTAATGAGTTTGCCCACCACTGCCCTGGACTAAATCAACCCCTGCACTTGCTTTATAATTATCTTACTACCCTTTATCCAATGTCATTCCCAACCTCTCCTAACAAATAAACCCTCCTTCCCCACTATCCTAACTGTATCAACCAATGTCCAGCACGGTGGCCATTTGGCACATATGGCTATTTAAATTAATTAAAATAAAATTCGTGTTAAAAGTGAGTTCCACAGTAGCAATAGCTACATTTCAAATGTTCCATAGCAACAGATGGCTAGTGGTTACTGAGTGCCCTGTCCAGCTATAGAGCATTCCTGGCACTGCAAAACGGTCGGTCTACCGACAGCGCTGGGCTTTAGATATGCCTACATCTGCCACTTTACCAGGTGAATGTCTACCTGTGAAGGCACCTGTGAGGACAGATTCGCTCATTGTCTCATGCCTAGACCTTGTGTATTAATAAGCTTCAGAGTGCAGTGAAGACCCGTGGTGTAGGAGCCACAAGACAGGCTCTGTGTTTGGCTCATTAAGCCTCACTCTGCTCTGAAGAAATAGAAAAGTAACAGGCATCATCCATGTTTTATAGGTGAGGACACAGGCACAGAAATTAACCTGCCTGAGGCTATACAGTCAATAATGGAGTCACAAACAGAACCTGGATTCCCTAATGCCCCAGCAGTGCCCCATTCATTAAAGTAGTCATGACTGATTTAAGAAGCCAAGGACAGAAACTATTCCATTTCACCTGACCCAAGCAACTGTTTGCTTTATCAAATAGCTTGTTACATCCACAGGAGGGTCATATCTATTAGGGTCCATATCTCATATTTATATACGGACCTAATGCAAAGTGTGTGTGTGTGTGTGTGTGTGTGTATAAAACAAAAAAATAAGAAAGAATATTCATCCCCTGAATTTGCCCCAAGTATTTTATCACATCTGATGGGAAAGAAAGGATATTAGACACACTTACTGAAACTAAAAGCGCCAAGGCACTCTTGTATCAGTAATCTGTCATTCGGTTACCTATATAAATGATAACCTATCAGCTCTGCGTTTTGTAATTCCTATTTGCCTCTGTAACCTGAGTAAGTCTGATCTTTGGGTGTTCCTTCCAAACCTACAGAAGCAATGGGGACACAGGGAAGCATTTCCATTTCAGCTACCTCATTAACTGCAAAGAGTAAAAGAATATATATGGAGACATGAAACAAGTTATAGATTACAGATATAAAATCCAGACACAGCATTTGCTTGACAGTCCTTACAATGACAACTGTAAATGTAGCAGCCAGCACAGACATCTCTGCCCTGATCCTGCAAAAGAACAGCCCAGAGTTTCAGCTGAATGATGTGAAAAATCTTAGAAATAGTGTGACAGCCCTTGCCTAACATCTGAATTTTAACAGTTGTTATAGTAAATGTAAAGAAATAAAAAAATAAAAAAAAGGAAAGGAATTGAATATTTAAAACAATTTGAAAATACTGGTAAGCATATAATAATTATTCCTGTGCTTCTAATTCTTTTCCTAATAATAAGTATTAATCAATCCAAAGAATATAAAAAAAAAAAATGAATTTGTATAAGAAGTCACAGCTTCCGAAATAAATTGGACAACTATTTCTGAATTAAAAGAGCATATATCCCTCAACTATGTCTCTTAAAGAAAAAGGACATGAATGATGATTCTAAATCCAGAATTTAATGGTCACATCTAACCTAATTATGAAAGAGAGCCATCAACTGGATTAGAAAAGTCTGCTTCCCGATAGACTGTGATTTAGGAATACAAGCCAATGGGAAAAAGTCTGCACGCTGAACTACTCACACAGCGTTCCTGGACGCCCCGTGGGACAGTAGCAGCTGGACTATGTCCATGTGCCCGTTCCTGGCTGCATCGTGGAGTGGCGAGTCGTTCTGATACCCAGGCGTGTTCACCAACGCCTTGTGCTGGAGTAACAATTCCACTACCTCCAGGTGCCCATGACTGCAGGCTTCATGCTGATTTTGAGAAAAGAAAAGGAGTGAGAAGAGTGATGAGGAAGAGCAATGCCATAATAAAACCACACTTTAGAAAAATAAATATGAACCTTAGTCAGCAAAACTGAGTTCTTACCTAAACACTCATACAACAGGCCATACTTTGTTGACAGTAAAACCCACCATTCATAATCTTGGTGATAAGATACATGGTGATCAAGATCTGTGCAATTCATGAAAGCCTGAGGTCAAGTGCTCTTATTTTAAAAGAAAATGTAGCTTTAAACCAATAAGAGCTCCTAAATTATTCTACAATAAGAAATTTAAAACAAGAAAAATAAAATAAAACTTAGAAAGTATTTAACAACTAAATCATGCATAAAATTTGAAATTCTCTAAGGCTGAACAGAATTCATTAAATCAGAAGCTTAGCCATAAGCTATGTGGTCTACACATATACACAGAGTGGCCAGATTATGATGATCTCTGAACGCATAATAATCCGGCCACTCTGTGTGTGTGTGTGTGTGTGTGTGTGTGTGTGTGTTTGTGTGTGTGTTTATTAGAGGTCCGGTGCATGAATTCATGCATGGGTGGGGTCCGGCCAACCTGGCTGGGGGAGGGGACATGTGCAGTTGGCTGGCTTGTCTGCTGGTTGAACTGGTTGAGGGGACAATTTGCATCTTAGCCTTTTATTATATAGAATATACACTGAGTGGCAAGATTATTATGCATTCAGAGATCATAATAATCTTGCCACTCAGTGTATATAACAACCCAATAAAGTGAATGTGTATAAGACAAGCTTCTCTTACTTGCTAAAGCTGCAGATGACTGTATATCCAGTATCGATAACAGAAATGACATGGAGTAGATGCTTAAAAAGAGCTTACTAAATGAATGACATAACTGGTAACAATGGAATGTTCAAAGGTATCTCACATACAAATCTTTCCTTATGTCTCATGAACTGTTAACAATGCCCCTCTGTTGTAATCTAATACATTTCTGGCATCGTGTGCTATTCAGTTCATAACAGATAGTACTAAACTAAACATCTGTAGGCTTAGTTTATTTCTAGGATAAAGGAATCCAAATTCAGCATCAGATCCTCTAAAAATCACTCACCAACTTTTACTACAAAGCCGCAGAGTGGAACAACAAGCACTCTGATCCTAACTAAGCCTTCCAACCTTAATTTTGGCAAAGAGAAGCCATAATAACATTCTAACCCAGTAAGAATTTCCCAATTTTTGTGACTCTCCAGTTCCCAGCGTAAGGCCATCCACCTCATCTGCTGACACAGCTTTGGCCATATTCCAATCACACACTCACCGTCCTAATTTAATTAACCCACATGGCTCTTGTTCCATGTATTTGTGCCATTCTTTTCCCAGACTACTCTTCACACTACATTTTAACAGTAGTGAGCAGAGACTTTAGAAATGATACTGCCTCTATATATTTAAAATTGGGTAGGGTATGTACGTGAGGCTGAGGTAGATCCTCAGTAAGAATCACTGCTGGTGATACCTTCCTAAGCACCCATTTCCTCTGGTCTCTCTGTGCTCTACAGAATGCTTCCAATCGCATGCAAAGCTGCAGCATGGAACCTGATGTTGGCTCTCCACACAGTTGCTGCTAAGTTCAATAATATGGTATAACTGGTTTCTTAAATCTAAAGGTAGTCAGTCAAAAGGTAGCTCATTTAGTGCCTATCACAATTGAAGAGCTAGATGTCAATCATTTTCTCTTGTTGAAAATATGTCTTCTGATTTAACAAGGGTATATATATATATATATATATATATATATATATATATGGCAGAGAGTGATACAAAAACAACTATTTAACTATAAACTATTAATAACTAGGAAAAACAAACAGAATGGGAATAAAAACAAGCAAATAGGAAACTACCAATGGTGTCCAGCCAGCGTGGTCTTTAACATTTGGGTCACTTCCATTTTGTAAGAGGTATGCAACAGAAGGTATGTCGCCCTAGTATAAGACAAAGAAAACAAAAAGAAATCAAAATTCATCGAGGATCAAAATAAGACATCGAGTTTTGTTGTTTTTAAAGGTTCTGCGTCTTTAAAGATAAAATGAAACAAATATTTTCCCTTATGCCTATTAGTCACAAGTTAATAAATAATAAGGTTTTGTATTCTGAACTATTTGAGGTACCAAGTCCTGTAATTCATATGGTACGTACATCCTTAAATACAGAGTACAAAATCTCTGCTATAAGCAACCCATAATGAAATTCATTTCAAAATACCCAATAAAGGACACTAGCCACAGATCATTTGTCTGATCATAATAAAGTTTTCAAAGTCATTTCATTTGTGAAAAACATTCCTTTGAGCACACATAAAAATGGCCTCTTAGTGTTGTTTAAAACAAAATTAAGCCAGGAAGACTGCTCAGTAAAACCAATGTTAAGACTGCCAAAAACTGTCTTCCGCACTGTCACTCCATCCTTAATGCATTAACTTAGCTTATATTCACCTTATTTGCTCAAAGATATTTTTCTAGGCAGAAGCAAGGCTTAATTTTTCCAAAAATAACTAACAGCTTTCTCTGAAAAATAAATTGAAAACTTCCATTTGACAAGTTACTTATGACACTGCTGTGTTTTGTGAAGCTCCTCTTTAGGGAGAAAAAAATCTGTCTCCTCCACTCCCAGCCCCTATACTCTTCTGAAATAACTCTTCAGCCTCTAGAAGTTGATAAGGTCAAAGTAATTAAGACCCCTTAATATAGTAACATTTGCTTTTATTTTATTGTTTTGGGCTCCATTCAAATGTAGTATATCTTAAGATGGTAACTTAGTTTTCTGAAAAGCAAATCCACATGATATATATATATATATATATATATTCCTAAATTAACAAAATGACCTTAATATTCAACGCACCTAAAAAATAAACATGCTATGTATTTCAAATCAAATGCTCCAGTTCAAATAAAAAATATTTTTCCATAGTTCCTGAGGGATATACATACTATATATCTAATGCCAGGTAACATGTATTTAGCAAATGTTGCTCTATATTCAAGTCAGTCCCAAGTGAGTTCAGGAAAATCTGACAAAATACAAATATGAATTTTCTAAAATAATTTGGGGCAGATGAACTGCCTCAACCACACCCATTCCCAACCTTCAACATGGAAGTAAACACAAGAAACAGTCAAAAAACTTTCTCAAAAAGTTCCTCATTCTAACTCTGCATGGTAATCACAAAACCATATTCACCTAAAGAAGCCCGTAAAATAGCGTAAGCACAAGTGTGGAATGGAGGAGTCATGGGAACAGTCACGTAGGAATGGAGTGACAATTTAGAGACTAAAGTCAGAATCTCCTGTAAGGCTGTTTGTTGGACAGTGGTGTTTTTCTCTCATGTCACCTCTTCATATCATCAAAGATGTCTTTGTTACAACTGCACCCCTAGACTTCCCTGAACTGTATAGCTGATTGACAAACTGCTTTTGTTCCTTTATTTTTTTCTATCACCATTTATTGCCCTATACCCTCTTTCATCTCCGCCCACCCCTCATCCCCACAATCACCACACTGTTGGCAAATTGCTTGCTTTTAATACCCAACCTGCTTTCTCTCCCCAAGTACTTTAAAAGTTTGACATATTTTCATCCTTCTCCTTTATGTAAATTTAATGTTATGCACATAAATAAAATTATGATAATTAGATAGGATCTATAGTAACTGGGTAAGCTTGAACCAATATGAAGTTTCCAAGAAATAAATTAATTCCGGCTATTGATGTCTTTAAATTGCTTTATTCTATAATATAATATTTTCTGAGTAATAAGCACTCACTTTTAGGTTCCTCACAGCTTACAAAATAATTGAGACTTTTTTTATTAACCACAGCAAGAAGAAAAAAAAACATCATCTGAGGAAAGTATTTACCAAGGCTTATAAGAAATTTTAAATGGATTTGATATTTTGAAGTATCACCTTAAAGGCTGAAAATAAGGAAGCATGCCACACTGAATTTTCTTATTGTTAACCTTTCATTTGAAGGACTCTTCACACATTCATGCATACTTTAACAATATAAATTAACTTTCCAAAAACAAACACACAAACAGAACTTTTTCCTTGATATGCAGGTTTACACTTCCAAGATACTGTTAATAAACATCTTTATAAAAATAGTACAGGACATTAAGATTAAGTTCAATAATCATGAGTTACCCCAGATGGTTAAGCTTTCCACATATATGAACTGACCAAATACCTAAAGTTTCTTTTAACAACCAGATGTAATTTTAAAAAAATCTAACCATCTGGAATGGAGCTCTCAAAAATATTAAACATTTCCCTGGCCGCTGAGCCAGGGTCGACTAATTGAATAAAATAATTTCACAGATGATTCTGACAATCTAGTCATCGAGACATAAGCTGCGGGTATTACAAAGGCGGTGGGTGACAGACAGAGGGAAATGAATACGGACTCCAAGAGAGGTCCTAGAAATTAAAATCTTAAAACGACATAGGTGCCAGTGTGCTTCGGAGTCCTTTGCTACTTTCTCGAGAAGCTAGTAAGAAGGATCTTGTAGTAATGTGACTACACACAGTATAACATGAATTAAAAAGGCAAAGCATGAAGGAGGCTTCTCACCAGGGATTTTCTCTCTTCCTCCTCACCTTTCTTATGTTAAGCACATCATGCCTTGTAAGTTGCCTTCAAAATAGTATCTATCATGTTTGTATGACAAATATATCATATGACATGTCAACTTCAAGCCATTCTTGTATTTCACGATCCATTCACTGCTATGGCATGAGTTATGAGTAATCATTACCATTTTAAAGATGGGTACTGGAGAACTTAGGGGAGGTTTTTCCCAGCACCTCCAGCAAAGCTGACATAATAGAGTAACAAGTCAAAATCTTCTCTATGTCTAGAAAAATGTCAAATACTAAGGTGGTGTTGTTTTTTTGTTGTTGTTGTTTTTCATTAACTTAGAAGAAAAAACAACATAAGTGTTTACCTTATAATAATAGGAAGAAAGACATAAAGCTAAGGGTATGGTCGAAACTGCTATTTTAGAGAAGTTAGGAAAAGTCTCTCTGAAGAGGTGGCATTTGAGCAGAAGCTGAGGAAGGGATCGCACAGGGCTACGCAGGCATAGAAGACTGGATTTTGTTTTAAGAGGGCCAGGAAGTTATTGGTAGGGGAGCAGAGACATGACAAGTTCTGACCTAGGTCAGATTATTACAGCTGTCATATAGAGAACTGAAAGCAGAAAAGCAGAGCAAGAAATGAGACGCTACTTCATGGTGTGTTTGGAATAATGACCCTTCCCCCCCAAAAAAACTGTGTCCTAATCTCCAGAACTTGTACGTTACCTGACATGACAAAAAGGACTTGGTAATGTGATTATGGGTACAGATGTAGATGGGAGGATTATCCTGCGCTCTCAGGGTGGCCCTGGGTGTAGCCAGGATGAGCCAAAGGAAGGGAGCCTTCCTGGCCAGGTCAGAAAGATGACACAAGGACTCCACCCCCTATTGCACAGCCAGCAGGAGAACAGGATCTCAGTCTGACAACCACAAGAAACATGCAGTTCCTTGAAACAACCCAAATAATCAAGGAAATGGATTTTCTCTTGGAGTAACCTCGCTGACATGCTGACTTTGGCCCGGTGAGAGCCACACCGGACTTCTGACCTAAGAAAATAAATCTGCCTTGCTTGTAGTCACCAAAATTGTAGGAATTTGCAGTGACAGCAACAGGAAACTAACACAAGTGGTCAGGGCAACAAGAAAAGACAAGTAGCTTCCACTAGGGGGTTGGCTATAAGAAGACTATGGTCAACAGAGATGCCAGAGGAAGGTCTGGAGCAGGATATGAAAGAATTTTGTTAATAATGTTCCCAAATTCAGAGGTCGTTCTGTAAAGCCATCACTGCAGCAAGGGAAGCTAGCCGGCCGAGCACATTCCAACTCCCAGGGTGCTCTGCCCTCAGTGCATACATACACCCAGCATGCATCACACGACCACAGCCTCTTTCAACCTGAGGGGCAATGGAACATGGGAAATGCACGTCTACCAAGACACTTTATGGAAAAATAACAACTACAATGATGACAACTAAAACCCATCTTTTGACACATAAAACCTGGCACTCCCCTTATTTGCTCTGGCTGTGTGAAAGGTCATCAAATCTAATGCATTATTCAGCAGCAGAAGCTTTTCCTCTTTTCTGTGCCTGGCTCATTTTATAGTCGTTTTAACCCCGGGGCCCCTCTAATCCTTCTCTCAGGCAGGTGGATACAAAACACAAATTAAGACGGCAGAATCTCAATATCTGGCTTTCTAGTACACACAGATTATTTCATTTTCAGCTGCAAATAAAAAAAATTAGGGTAAAACCACTAAAATGAATATTATTTATCATACACAGATGCACACACACAAACAAACCCACTAAGTTTCTCTCAAGTATGTGTTCTATTAGAATCAAGCTGGGTAGGGGTTAATTTTAATAATGTTTTTAAAGAGACATTATGGTTGAATAGTGACTTAAAAAACAATAGAAATCAATTAGCTTTACACAAGCGTACTGCAACAGAGCCTGCCAACTAATAACAATATCCGGTAAGTTCAAAAGAATCTGAGTGGGTAACTCTAATGCCAGAAAGACTCCCAGGGAACTGACAATCTAACAGGACTGGTGAGAAACAACCTTCAACGGAGAAAACTCACAAGGCAGCTCATGCCACCATGTCTTCCTGCCTGAACATGCTACTGTAGCTTCTTCCCATGGCCGAGGCCAAGGGCTGGCATCCTATGGCCTGTGGGCCAGATACCTGTCTGCTATGCACTGAAGGTTTACTGGCTTACATACTATACTGTCTATGGCTGCGTTTGCACTACCAGGACCGAGTTGAATAGATGTTATAGAAACTATTTGACATGCCAAGCTAAAATTATGTACTCTAACTGCCCTTTAAAAGAGCATTTACCAAACCATGTACTAGATTCTGGGTCCTAGAGATCCTCATTAATAAAGATAAAGAATTCTTCTTCTTAAAAAGAAAAATGATCACCCTAGCCAGTTTAGCTCAGTGGATAGAATGTTGGCCTGCGGACTGAAGGATCCCAGGTAAAATTCTGGCCCAGGTTGCAGGCTCGATCCCCAGTGTGAGGCGTGCAGGAGGCAGCCGATCAATGATTCTCTTTCATCATTGACATTTCTATCTCTCCCTCTCCCTTCAACTCTGAAATAAATAAAAACATATTTAAAAAAAGAAAAAGAAAAATTATCTACCAATATAGGTGGATGCTTACCTAGTGGTCTGAAAATAATTCCCAGGAAGCAAAATGCAGACACTAAAGTAGCCACATTTTTAGGTACTATTCAGAAAAGTGAACAAAAATAATTATTATGTTAGCTACTTACGTCTATGAAGCATTAATAATATTGTATCAAGGTTTATAATAGCTTTATGTGTATATGTATATACATTATATATAACAGGGAAAACAAAAAATAGTCTGGTTTTTAAATTATGCTTTGCAAAAATCAAACTAGAGCTAATCCTGAAAATTCAAGTTGTTCAAGGGATATGTAATCCTGAGCATGTAATCATACTGCAGAATCTCCCCCAACCTGCATCACATTTGGAAGACAAAGCTAGGAAAAAATAAAACACTAACAATTGGAAAAGACTCAATTTTGTGCTTTTCCCTTTCTCCACACAAAAAAGACAGAGTCCCTGGACTCCATGTATACCCCACGTTCTTCCCAGATGTTTTATGTCACCAGCCTCGCGAAGGGGTTCCTTCCAGACCTCCCAAAGTTCTCTATCCATACAAAGGACCCAAGGATCTCCCAGAGAATCAATTGGAATACCCAAAACCTATCTTATTTAGGATTAAGCTCTCCCGTGTCCTATTTTCCATTTCAAAGATGAACCACCTCATGCTCCATAAACCAGCCAGGTTCCAAAACAGACACTGTCACACCCCAGGTGTTGGGGCAATAAATAAAGAGAATTAACTTCAATGAGCGGGCTAGTGAAAGGAATGGCTGGCAGGACACAGCACAGCTCCTCTGTGGAGACCACGGGAGCCACTCTCACAGTAGAATTTCCTGATCTTTGGAGAAACACACAGATCTCATCTCACAACCTTCCAAATCCTCGCTGTGCCCTCCAGGAGCCTGCCACTTCTCACAGTGCCCCTGGCTCTACTGCTTAGAAAGACATGCTGCCAGCAGTAACTTGGCAATTACCTTTACCGACAAAGCATGAGAAGGATGGGTCAACACAATGGTGAAAATGGAACCAACTATTCTGGAATAGACAGAAACAAAAGCCCCTGCCCAAAGAGAACCTAAGAGAGTGAAATACTGAAATTTCCCTAAAGATCATGTTCCTCGGGCCTGGGCCTCACTGAGATGGGCTTCAGTCCCTGTGAAGTCTATTTCTCTGGTTCAACCTTAAGCATCACATCTGTGGGAGTTCAATCATCCTATCATCTCTCCTCATTTTTCACAAACTCCAAAGAAACTGTGCTATCGCTGGTCTCGTCCTGAAATTGTTATCTCAGAGTCAGTTCGTACCTTAATGGAAGCAACATGGAGCAAAGTCTCGCCCTTATGATTCCTTTTCCCAGCGGAAGGGTTCCCGGGGGGCAGTCTCGTTGCTGGGGGGCTGGACAGCATCCGCCCATAATTGGTACTGTTCAGGGTAGAAGGCGGGGTACCCGGTGAGGAGCTCAGGGATTCATCCAATATCGTTCTGATTTTCCTCCTTCCTCTGGCTCCAGCTTGACGTTTGCTGGAAGGCTGCAGAGAGTCAGGCCCGGGGGTGTTTTCAGAGAGCCCTGTCTGCTGATCAGCATTCTCACTGGCGCTGGGAACGCCGCTCCTGCGTCTCTTAGAGCTGGGACTGGACGGTCTCCTGTGACGCCCGCGTTTCCCGCTCCTGGGTGGAAGAGCATCTTCTCGGAGATCCTGCTCAGGAGCCAGGCCTTCAGCCCTGCTCTCCATTTCCGGAGACTCTATCTGCTCCGCCAGCGGCAGAGAGACCTCGGCTAAGTCTCCAAAACCTTCCTCTTCTGCCACAGAGCCGCTTGCTAATAAGTCTATGCCACCACTTCTCGGAGGACTGGCATCCACGGAGAAAGACACCTGCTTTTCCTTAAGTTTCTCTTTGGAGTCCAGGGGACCATCTTTTTGGTCTGCCTGTGAATTCCACAACTGGTTGATCTTCGTTAAAGTTTTCCTTTTCTGTTTTTTCCCAGGTCTGGTAGAAGCCTTTTTAGCCGTGGCAGAGGGGTCTGCTGGAGGGCTCACGGAGACATACTCATACGCCGAGGCCTGCGGAGCATTCTCATCATTCGTCACTTGAGGCTGGGTTTGTACCGAAACTTTACTCACAACGTATCTGACCTTCTTACTGCGAGGACTGAACCACATTTTTATGGAATTCTTCTTACTTCCTGCATGATTAAATAAACTTGTCCTGGATGGTTCTTCTTTTAAACCTGAGAGAAAAAAGGAAAAGAAATCTGTCACATGAACTTAATCTCTCCCAGCTGGAGCTCCCACCGAATTTGGTTTACGGTTTTCCTAAAGTGTATCACCTTTAACTTATGTACCCCTTAATCTTGTCCTAGCCAGACTATGAACTCCGTAGATATCTGGACATTCAAACAAATGTTCACAGAATCCCACGTTAGTCCTGATAGTGTTCTAGGAAGAAAACAAGGAACTTATATTCCACTGGGGATGACCTGAAAATATGAATAAATAAGTAGTGTATTATTTGTTTATTAAATAAGTAAATAAAAAATTTAATAATTTGTTTATTAAATAAGTAGTGTATTGTTTGTTTATTAAATAAGTAAATAATCTAAAGAGAAAAAAGCCAATGATATCTTACTACAAAGGACTGGTAACACCCACTGTATAGGAAATAAACATGTCCTATTACTAAGGTGTTACATAAAATTGTCACGTGTGCTTATTCTTGATTTCTTTTCAACTTTCTCATGTCTTTAAAACATAAGCGAGAAAAAGGAAATTATAAAATATTCTAATTCCTTTTAGACATTTTTTCTTCACACAGAACACTTACTAGTTTATCGGTTCAAAATTAACAATACATTATAAAATTAGTCAACTAAAATCTAAAGTTCAAAATTAATTCTTCTATTTTTTACCTCCTGTTTTTGAGTATAAAACTACTATCTTTACAAACAGATCTGCCAAAAACAAGTTTATGAAAAAGAAAGAAAAAAGATGGATTGTGAAAAACAAACAGTGTATAATATCTCAGTAGAAATTACAGAGCCATGATCCCTGCCTAGCAAAGGCATTCTATCAAACTCTCCTCCACTCCAAAGAAGCCATCCCTTCCTCCTGGTGGAAAAATGGCAGGACTACACTGGGAAGACTAACTGATAAGCCCAGCTGAAGCAAGAGTGTGTCTGTGAGTAAGGGCAGACCCTCTGACATCCTTATGATGTCCCAGCTGACAGCACCTGGTCCACCAAGGGTTATTAGGACATCCATTCACACAGACTGAATTTCTAAATCCAACAAGGTCTTTCCTCTGCAGTGATAAATAGATTTCAAATGAAGTCACTTCTGATACAATCTCACGTCAGGAGGAAAAGTCAAAAGGAAATGTTACTGGGATTACTCTTTAAGAAAGACTCTGGATTACAAAGACTAAATAAAGGTGAATCCACTGGTAGCCTGTAATAACTTGTATTTAATTTTTTAAAGTTTATTTTAAACATACATGGCGACATTTTCAACTAAAAAGTCAAATCCTGAAGTCTCAATGCTTATAAAACTTAGTGTAGAACTAGACATTTAATAAAAAATTAAAGCTTGTAAGTAGTAGCAACACACCCAATTGACTAAAATATTCTAAATATAAAAAGACAATAAATTTTGCTCAGGAATACATATTTCTTATAAAGCAATAAATGAAAACAGCATATATTCATGTAATTTATAGGCACACAACTTCACTAGTCATCCAGTAGTACTATCGATACATTACTCAGAATTATTTTAATTGTGTATCTTGTCTTACCTAAGCAAGGACCACAACCACAAGTATGTTGTAAATTCTGGGCAATACACGGCATATCACAGTTAAAACGATAAAAAGCAAAACCCCCACCACTCTACATCAACCACACCAATGACAGCGGCAACAGTTCATATGGGTTAATGCTTCTAAGCATAAAAAATTATTATTGTATATTCATTTCACGAAGAAAAACGCATAGTCCTTCCTCTACACAGTAAACCTCATAATGATGGCATTTAAAAGAATTCTGTTCTCTGAATTTAAACATTTCTGAGTGTTTCTAACTGTCCAGGAACAGAGACACACATGTGGCCAAGGAGCTGCTCAGCCAAGTTTATTCTTAAAATAGAATAATAAACTATAGGAAAGGCAAGCAATTAGCAAGTGTCATTCAGCTATCATTAATCTACATCAAAGGGTTACACTGAACACTGTGTGCCTTTCAGATGATCCTATTGTAGGTTTCGCAACAGAAGTTGAGAAATCTATTGACAATCTAGCCCCGTATTAAAAATCAAAGCAAAGTACTTTGCTACCATCTGCGCCTTCACTGAAGAATGGTTATTTTGTAAGTTAAGAAGTATTCACTTCTACCTAAAAAATTAAAGCACAGCTACTCACATGCTCATCTTCATCTATTATAAAAGAATCACAGCATATAGGAAACACTATGTAATTTGCCACAGAGAGACCAGCCTCTCCCCTGAAACCAGAAAAGAAAGTTGTGATCCTCTGGGAGCATAATCACAATGTTTTTTAATGTCACCAACACCGACATATACTTCACAGAGCCTGGCCAGCACCTGCAAGGTCTGATTTAATATGACGGGGCCAAGAGAAAATAAAAACTTTCAAACTTAACTCCATTAGCAGAAAGCAGATTATGTTGTAAAAAAATACGCTAAAATTATCCATAAATGCTTGTCAGAAAAATGTATGACACACAGTCTCTTTGCTTTGAAATATACTGAACCGAGAAAAATTTATTCAACTATTTAGAAGCTGATTTCAGAGAGTATTACTGTAAATCAGGCTGCTTTATCTCCAGTATATACCATATACTATGTCCCTGACTTGACAGGTTCTTCCTAATTATCCACCTTAATTACAGTGATTATATATTTTACAGTAAGTGCAAATAACAAGGTTCATTAGGAAGACAGATTGTGAACTACAGGTTAAAAAAAAAATAGAGGAAATGTGGAAAGAGTCCAACCATTCCACCTAATTCACCTTCAACACTAGACCAGTTATCCACATGATTTTGGAGCTAGACCTTAGGAATCATTGAATCTAATACCCTTATTTTATGAGGAGGTTATTTCCAATATCCTCATTATTTGATCCAACTATTATTTATCTCTACCTACTCACCTCACTCACCTTCCACCACGTTAAGCACTTGCTAGATAAACTAACATAAAGGTCCTACATAAAACATATTGGATAGATAAACCATAAATAAACTCTCTCAGACTGAACATAAACTGTGCACCTATGGATGAGGACAATGGAGGGGGCGGAGGGTGGGGTGGGAACCTGGTGGAGGGGGGAAGAAATGAGGAACCTTTGTAATAATATGAACAATAAAGATTGATTTAAAAAAATAAATAAATAAATAAACTCTCTCAAATGCCCTTCCAAGCCTAGTTTGCTTTAAGGGACATCGAGAGGAAAGGTTGATGACAATTAATTTACAGTAAGGAAAAAAAGTTTCATCATGAAATGAGAACTGGATTAGAAATGTATATTTCAGAGAGCATGTATATTTCAGACAGAATGTATATTTATCATCTTCTATAAAACTAGCAAAGAATGTGAGCACTATACATTGAAGCACAACCTAAGAATTTGTTCTAAACTTGTGTTTTTTTTGTTGTTGTTGTTTTTATTAAGTTTAGTGTCTGGGATATGAGTGAAGTCTTAACACTGCCAATTTTTCTCCAACCCAATTCAGCAAACATAACGAACACGTATACTTCGAACAAAAGCAACATGCTAAAGAACAAAACAAACAGCAAGAAATTTACAATCTGACTGCCTGGCTTAACCCAAATCCTTCATTTCCTTATCTGCAGAATAAAGGGGTTAAAGATAGCCTTCTAGCTCCTAAAATTCTGCTTATATATTACGCAAAATGTGAAATTTCAATTCATCATAAAGTACGTAATACTAAAGCTAGCACTTCTAAAGTCTGGAAAGGACTGAAGTAATAACTCATTATATAATAAGGAAAACAAACACAAAATGGCCTTCAGAAAACTAATCATCCTAATTTTCCCCCAAGTTCCACCTCTACTCTCAGATGAGAAAGATGGCATTCTGAATGGCCTCAGATCCACATAAAAATTTGTTTCTAAACTCAATAATTGTCCTAAATATATTTTTAAATGATATTAATTTAAACCATTTCACAATCATGGTCCACAAAAGATGAAAACCATACAGACTCAAACATCATTAGCCAAGGTAAACTTTCTGAAGAAGTCCTCCATCTTACTCTTCTTTGCACCCTGGTATCCTAGGCTCCATAATTTACCTCTCCTCAGGGATACTCTGTCACCATTAAAAATGTCACACTGCTGTTATGGGTTAAACTGTGTCCCTCCTAAAATTCATATAAAGAAATCCGACCCACAGCACCTCCAATGTGACCTAATTTGGAAACTGGGACATTACAGATGTAATTAGCGATAAAGCTCATATGACTGGTGTCCTTTTTAAAAGGGGAAATCTGACCCTAGCTTGTGAGAACATGTGAATATGAAGCCCACTATCTGTAAACCAAGGAGAAAGGCCTGGAACACATCCTATCCTCACAGACGCTGAAGGTACCAATCTTACCTTGATTTTGGACTAGCCTGCGGACCTGGGAGATAAGGACTTCCTGTGGTTTCAAACTTCTCCCCCACCCCCCATGTGTGGTGTGCCTCTTCCTTATGGCAGCCCAGCAAGCTAGTATCACTACAGTAGCACTAATACTCACTACACAGCAACTGGAGAAGAATCAAATCAAATCATCACGACAGACACCAATCGCGCAGCAGCATCCCAAACTTCCATCTTGGCCAATATTCCTCACAGACCACACATCTTTAAGAACCTCATGAAAACCACTTTCAGAGGCGTGAACATTTTTCACACTGTATAATTAACTCAAGAGGCTCACTAATCCTCCCCCTCCACCCCCATCACTGCCAACCACGCACAGACTCTTGATTAAGGACTCCTGTCTTAATCAGTGTTGGGGAGGGGGGTACCAGATCACACACCAATCTCTCTAATCAGAAAATAAACACTATTAGCTCTGTCTCTGAATAAGAAGGAAAAGAATACAGATGTACTTAGTAATAAAACTTTTCCTCATTGTGCTCTTAAGAGATTTATAACAGCATTTTTTCAAAAAGATAAAGTACTTTTAAAAATGTGTACAATTACATCTGAAAGTCAGTAAAATGTTATTACTATAGTACATTTTATTATAAAAGAATAGAGAGTAATGATCAGATAACTAGATGAAGAAAACTTTTTGTAGGTAACTATGATTTTAATTCTTAAAAATATGGACAGAGTCAAGAAGACTCAGTATTTATTTTGCCAAATCACTTCACCATTAATAGTTGACAGTGACACAGCATGTCGGAAAATGAAGATGAAAAGGTTTTAAAATAGAAACCCAGCCCTTTCATATGTGCATTATCAATAGTGGCATTCTGCCAGCCAAGAATAGTTTCTCCTATAAAGGAACACACGCTAAAAGGAAGTGATCTGGGCAATAAAAAGGCAATTCCCATATCTAACTATGAAGATTCAAAACACTACTTTCTTTCCACAGCTAATTAGTTCTCAGCAGAAAGCACCATGGGAAGACACACAGTTAATACACAGAGTCTGAGAACAATTTGAAAAACATTAACCCCCACTTACATAGGAAAAAAAGGGAGTATTAGATGTTTTGCTCTTCAAAAATGTGCTCATTTAATTAATTCAGTCTAGAAGAGTGATCCACCAAAGGAGGTTGTATTCTATCTTGTAAGTGTATTTAAGTACATTTAGAATAAAACCACTACACATATTACACAGACATGACCATAACTGAGAAAGCAGGCAGCAGGAGCAGAAAAAGAAGGCTGGCCGGACAGTCGGAAGAAATAGACTGTTCTTCGGTGCTCACTACAGGTGTGACTGCAGACAAGGCCACTGAACCTCTGTGGCCCTTGGTTTCTCATCTATAAAAAGGAGTGAGACTTAATTACCTCTAAGGTATCTGTCCCTCAAAATAATTCCAAACGCTTAAATCTTAAAACCTGAAGCACACCACTCAGAGTTCCTGACGGCTCTTTCACACACTCCATGTAACAGACACGTCACAGGTGACCTAGAGGAGGGAGACATGCCAGCTCACCGGGCAGCTCCTTCTCCTGCAGCAGACTCCGCAGCTTGCTGCACAGCTGGATCATGCTGTCCAGCTGCCTGTTGATCTTCACATCCTGGATCCAGGCGGGGGTGTTACACACCGGACATTCGGTTCCCAGGCAGTCACTCACACAGTTACTGAAAAGGAATTTTAAAAATATATGTAATTATCAATGCACTCAGCAGAATCTGAATTCCAACAAATAATGGCTGTTTATATTTTTAATTTGACAATCTAAGGGAAAAGTGCTCAGTGTCCCTAACTAAAAGTCAGATATTGCATGTTTTAAAATTTTTTGCAGTACACTAGTTAAAAGGCGCTGGGATATATCAAAACCATCTTTTATTTATTTGTTATTTTTTTAAATTTATCTTTATAGTTGTGAGTATTACAGATGTCCCCTTTGCTTTGTTTTTGTCCCCATTGGCCCCTCCATTCCACACCCATAACTCCCAGGTAAAAAAATTCAAGATTCAGGGCACATTGTGAGATGAAACTGACAAAACTTAATGATAAGAAAAAGAGCAATCAGGTCTAACTTATGGTTTTCACCTTGAACAACTTTGCAGTCAGTAGTATCACTTATTCCTACCATGTTTCCCCAAAAATAAGACATCCTCTGAAAATAAGACCTACTTACAGGTTTCCTTCTGAGTGAAATATAAGGCATCCCCCCCTCCCGAAAATAAGGCCCCCCTAGGCTAAACATGAGAGATTTGGTCCACTGATTCTGAAAGAAATGGAATCACAAGAAATTCACCAGGAAATTCAGGAATTGGATTGTTATGATGATGTTCCAGAAGATGATGACATGATTGTCATTGAATAAATGAGTAAATTCTTGATACTGTAGGATTCAGTTTGTCTGGTTTGTGTTGACAACTACTACTGTACTACCGTACCGTATACAGGAAATAAATTTCCTTTATTTTCATTTAACAATAAATGTGTACCGTATTCTTCTTCATGGAAAAATAAGATATCCCCTGAAAATAAGACCTAGCGCATCTTTGGGAGCAAAAATTAATATAAGATACTGTCTTATTTTCGGGGAAACAGGGTAGGAATCACCAAGCAGGAACAGATTGAAGGGGATGATGGTCTACAGATCTGCTCTGAAAATACCAAATCTGAAATCCCTTTCATCCTCCAAATGAGATATCAGGTAGGTGATGGGTACTAATTCCTACCCCATCTCCTGCCAGAAACACCCACATAACAAATTCATGTTTCTAGAACAAAATCGGGACCCCAGGCACAGCTGCTTCCCACACACCCCCAGCCCACCAAAGTCACAAAGCAAATTATCTTCCTATGTGCTTAAACTTCACATCGCAGTTTTCTCAGACCAGATAGCCCCATTGTCATAACTTGAAATTAAAAGATTGATTCAAAGGAGCCTATATAAACCCTGCTCAAAGACATTTAGTCCTTACATTGATTCTTCTGAGTAAGAAACAGGATTAGATGAGAATCTAGTATTGCATAAGCCAGGGCTTTCATATTATAACACGGATATAATTTCACAATAACTACTGCAGCTTGAATCGTGTCCCCCAAAAAGTTTTGCCTCCAGTACGTGTGAATGTGATTGTATTTGAAAGTAGGGTCTTTGCAGACAATCATGTTAAGATGAAATCACTAGGCTGAGCCCTAATACAATGACAGGTATACTTGTGAAAAGGAGAGATTTGGACCCAAGAGACAAACATGACCACCATGTAAACAAGAAAGCTAAGACCAGAGTGATGGATCCACAAGCCAAGGACTGCCAGATGCTGAAGTTTCTTCACCAGGATGCAGGAAAGCAGGGTGGGACAGAGTCTCCCTCACAGCCCTCCAAAGAACCAACCCTGCTGACACCTAGCTCTTGTTCTTCCGGCCTCCAGAAGGGAGAGACAATACATTTCCATGGCTCTAAGCCACCAGTTTTGGTGCTTGTTATGGCAGACGAGGAAATTACCACAATTACTGTAAGAACTAGCCTTTCATTAGTTTGGAAAATCTAGATTCAAAACAAACTGGAAGGAAAAAAAAAAAGAAGACGTAGTTGATATAATAGATATTAATTTTCTCCCAAATTTACCAAAGCTGCTTATTAAACTTTATTAACTTTGATCAAGTAGTCCTCTTACTGCTTTGATTTCTTTCTTATAAATTAAGATATTTATAAAGTTCAAAATGAGATAAAGAAGTTACTTTGCAGTATAAGGTGGGATAAAAAATATTATCATCAATATGAATACATGTCTATTACTTGTAAAAAGCATAGTTGCTACATAGGTATATATTAATTATATATCTGACATATACAATATATATCAAGCCAAACTACTTACCTACAGAATATGTGCTCACATCTTCCTAAACACACAGGCTCCCTCAGAATATTAGTGCTATTTGAAGAAGAAAAAAAAAAATCAAGATTTAGTCACTTATAAATAATTTATACCCAACATTTCATAAATCCAAGGCCCAACACTATTATTTTTCTTTCTTTTCTCAAAGTAGATGTTAAGGATGTGGTCATCCTGATTAAATATTTTTAATCAGAGGCCCGGTGCATGACATATGCACTTTGTGGGGGGGAGGGTGCCCTCAGACTGGCCTGCACCTTCTCACAGTCCGGGACCTCTTGGGGGATGTCCAACTGCTGGCTTTGGCCCGCTCCCCTGCTCTCTGCTCCTTAGCAATGCCTCAGGAGCAGCTCCTGCATTCAGCATCTGCCCCTGGTGGTCAGTGCACCTCACAGTGATTGGTCATTTCCCATTTAGTCAATTTGCATATTAGGGTTTTATTATATATAGGATACCTGCTGAATTCAAATAACTACCAAATTCGGTACAAATTGTAACTTTTTCAATAGCATATACTGGGAAGTCGTAGAAAGAAGTAACTGTTTAGGCATCTCTAAACACTCTTAGACACTCAGGCATACAAATCTATAATGCCAGATAGGCTCCACAGTCCACTGCTTCCTCGCCAGCTCTCAGGCTACACTTTAGTACAGAACAAAAACTCTCGGCAGGGACCTTAATCCTGGCACAAGAAGTTATTTTTCTCCTCCCTTCTAAGCTCTTCTAGCTAATAATCAAACTAACCTGAGGCAGATTAACAGGAGAAAATGTCCCAAGTCTATTACAGATGCACATGCAGGGGTGCCCCTGACATAAGACCCAGAAAAAGACATTGAGCAGCTGCGGGTTATGTACCATTTTGGACAAAGATGAAAGGGATAGGGGCCTAGGACTTCCAAGGGGAAGTCGGCAATTCCTGAGACCTTTGCTTCTTAATAACCAGCTTGAATCAACATCCCAAAGGACAGATTTAAAGGTGGCAAAACGCTGGTCCCCAGCACAGCCTTTTCTATCACTGCTCACCAAAACCTCCGTGCTCTCCTGAGGCCAGTCTCTGAGCCATTGCTCAAATACCCTGGGCCAACTCCAAGCCCACACTGCTCAATCTGTTCTCCCCCACCCAGAATACCCGTCCTCCACCCCCAGAACTATTCCTGTTACCCAAATACTGCCCCGGGCGATAAAAATGTCACCAAACAAAGCAGCTCAAGAGTTCTTGGGTGTTAGTTTCCACTCCTGGTAAACCTGTACCCTGCAGCAGAAATGCAAAGCACACGCACACAAAAACCTTACTTCCACAGCTGAGAAGGCTTTTTAAAAGAAAGGGTTTATGAGGCCATTGCTAGCAAAAAAGCAGAAAGACAGGTCTTAGGGCATGGAGACAGATATGCCCAGCGGCTAGAGTTTCAAAGTATATTTTATACATCAAGTAAGCAAGAAGAATTTACTTTAGCGATAGATGTGAGAAAGTGAAGCAGGGCTAGTGCTGGGATAGCCGGCAGAGTCCTAGCTATTCTCTTTTTGGATAATCTTGGATATAGCCACCTGGAAACTAATTAGATGATTCCAACATATGTGGGAGCCCCTTTCACGTCCTGCGTGGTTCAGGGTTCCGGTTCAGGGTTCGGGTTCTGGAGAAGGCCCCACACAAATGAAAAAGGACTAGAAAAGTATTAATTTGAGAATACTGGGGGCCAGGCGGGAGCCCGCCTCTAGTGGGAGGACTAGGCCTCGCCACCCTTTTATTCAGGTTTGGGATACACCCATTGCCTTTCGGCAGGAAATTCCAGTAACTGGCAGATTATCTTGTCAGTAAGGATTTATGTGATTATTTGGTGGGGAAGTTACCATTGTCTTAATTAGATAGGGAGTGGTTGGCTCTGACCTTTCAGAGCTTCAAGGTTGACCAGCCTTGCAGGTTCCTGGTCCACATCTTTCTATATGATATGCCCTATTTCTATGGGTGAGACGAGGATCGGTTTCCTGCATCCATACACCAAGGAGTGTGAGCAGCCTTTTGTTGGTTTTGCACTGCAGGTAACTGATGAATCCCTTTTTGTCTCTCTCCCTTGTACTCTCGGACCTGTAGTAATTTAACTTAAAACATCTCAGGATTTTCTCCTTCTGGGCACAAAGCTGAATGCGCTACACTCTTTCCTAAGGGACTTAGAACCAAGCTGGGTAGTTTTATAAGCCAACTTACTATATATATATATATATATATATATATATATATATATATATATATGTATATGTATATGTATATGTATATGTATATGTATATGACTTATGAGAATTACAAAATGACCCCACGTTCCAGAGAGATGGTATCTAGTTGAATTCAAAATATTTTGTATTTTATCCGCCTGGTTCTGTTTTTTGTTTGTTCGTTTTTCTTGTTCGTTTTGAAACAGATTGCAGCCCTACAGACAAGAGATCTTGACTTTCATTTTTTCCTGAGCTTCCCCAGCACACTATTACCTACCAACGTGGTGCTCTATGAGCAGCAGCATTTCAGTAAATCGTAGTGAAAGAACCAAATGGAAGACTCTACACAAAAATGCATGCAGAGTGACCAAGCAAAGGCATCTGCAGGGTAACAGGGTTTCTGTGCACTGAAAACTCTCTCTGCAGTAGCACTTCTGTTACTTCACCTGTACTGGGTTTGGAAAGATCAGTGCAGTCAGAGGATCGTAACTTAGGGAAGAACTAACTAATAAGAACCAACTATTAAAAAAAAAAAAAAAAAGGTCCTATTGATATAAAATTTTCTTTGCAAAGAAAAAAATGGGTAGTAAATTCAGTTGTTGAGATTATCAGGCAGACCTATTTCTTAACTGAATGGCTCCCAAACCTTCCATAATACATCAACTGCTATTTAATATTAGACAAGATAGCTACCACAGGACTCTGACATTTTAGAAAATCTGCAAGGTATTTTTAAATGTTGAACAACATATTTAACACCAAAATGCACAGGCCTCCAAGCCAATTAAACAATTTGCTGTATCCACCTTTTACAAGAATAAACAAGTCTGTTAACAAATAAGAAATATGGATAATGGCATGGAAGCATCATATTTTGCCATTATTTTGTATGCCACATTCAAGCAAATAGCATGGGAAAAATAAGAAATCATATCTAATTGTTTAGTGTCGATAACTACTGAATAAATCAATGAGTCAAATATCCCAAAAGTCAAGTGGACAATAGAATTATATCATTAATGACTAATTATAATAGAACCTACCACGGGAGATGAGACAGACAGCCACAGAGCTTGTATTGAATATATACCCAATTCAAATAATTTTGGTTATTCTCCCTTCAATTCCCTTTTCTCCAAAGCAAAACAGTAGCTAAGTAACTGCTGGTCTTTACTCCTACCACCTGATGTTCAAATGTTGAGTTTCAAAGCAATCATTTTATTCTCTCTTCCCTGCTCACTTCCAGAAGAATGTCTTCAATTACCATCTCTACGCAGATCTGTACTCCAGCCTAAAAGCTCTCCTCCGAGCTTCAGATCTGCTGAGCAATAACTTTATTTGTAAGACCATCTGCTATGCTATGGGGCAGTATTAAAGGGTGCTCAGTGTGTCTGGTGGTTTCCCTGGTGTTCACAGTCCTATGTACCACCAGGTGTGAATAGGACTGTTCACGCTGTGGTTCTAGCTCGCAGTCCCGGGGGAAAGACCTGTGCCTTCTGTACCTGCCCTGTCCTTAATCGTGTTTGCTATGAGTAATGAACCCCGGGAACTTAGGGGAGCATTCATGGCGAGTCAAGTGAATTAACCAGGTCCTTCTATGATAGTATTTCCAATTCCAAAGCTTTCATGGATTCATTTAACAAACACTAAGAAACTATGTGTCTAGCACAGTGGCTGCAAATCTGAACCTGTCCTTATGAAATGGGTAGTATAACTGAAGACGGGCACCAATCAAAGAATTAAAATGCAACATAAGTAAATAAAATCCACAATATGTGAGGGCTATATGATACATACTGAACACCAATGATATGTGCCCTTTCTGTAGGTTTGTTAAACTTCAATAAAATGTTTTAAATAGCATGCAGTGGACACTAATAATTATGGAATCTGCAAAGTGGAGGGAGCCTTAAATACCCACTGGTCCACTTTCCTCATTTTCTCAATGAAGACACATGTCCCAGGAACGCTACACAAACTGCTCTCCTTGGAAATAAGTGTAAGCATCTCTCAGAGCTACTGTACGTTTGGTTCCAGATCACTGCAATAAGCCAAGCGTCACGATAAATCAAGTCCTAAGCTTTTGCTTGTGGGGGTCTTGCCTTTAATTTGTTTAAAAAGAAAGAACATCAGTGAAGCACAGTAAAGCCAGGTATGCCTCCCTCTGAACCAACCAAACAGTCTGTTAGGCTCTAATCACTCTGGGATCTGACCCAGCCTTCATTCTCTGCCAGCCTGACTCCCTCCACCTTTATTCCACAGTAATTTTAGCATGTCATTTGCTAATAACCCCCCACCGGGCTCCGTTTATAGAAATCTCCCAAGGCCTCGTTCAGAAGCTTCCTGGGCTTTCCTCCACTGGCTCCACCCCAGCGCTCTTCTCGGCATCCCCATCCCCGTGGCCTTCATCATCATTATCATAGTTTACCCTGAACGTGCACAGTTCCTCCCTTAGAATTAAGCGTGTGCTCCCGAGGGTAGAACATGCCTCACGACATCCCCACCAGCACGGAGCCGCAGGGATGGCTTGTTGCCCCAATGAATAACCTGCGCCAGAGCCAACCAAGAGGAGCGATCACCTCAATGAAGGGTCACTGAACGGCCCTGATCATGGGGAACTCCCAAAGAAAGGCCAGAGCTGCCAGCTGAGTCAGGAGATCTGTCCTGAACTTTACACCCATGTGGCATTAGAACCTACCCCGCACTGTTGTAAGTAGCTCATCAATATTAACCCATTTAATTCCCACAACAGCCGTGTACAGTACAAACTACTGCGAATTCATTTTACAGTGACAACAATGAAGCGCACAAAGATGAATTCATTGGCCCAAAATCCCTGAGTAAGGATTTGAAGCCAGGGTCCAAAATCCATGTCCATAACCACTGAGCACACTGCCTCAAAACCTGACCACCTGTCAGATGACAAGAGATAATTCAGAAAAATAAAATCGCCTATTCTGAAAAACGCAAAATTGCTTTTTGACTTGTTTCCTAAAAGTTGATTTAAAAAGTGCTAGTACTCCAAGTTACAATTCTCTTAGACACCAACTCCCCGCCCCCCAAACCAATAAAATGTTGAGGAACCTAATTGTTTTAACTCACAAAATAGTATCATCTGATACTTGTCTTCACACTGCAGCACCTGTGACCATCCCCTGCTTCCTTTAGGAACACATGATTACTACGCTTTCTGCCAGCCTCTCACATGATATGGTTTTCCTATCTCCTATGTCCAAATCTGCAAACAGCTTCTATCTGGTTGTGAGGCTTGGACCTAACACAAATGTCACAGCCGGCCTCTTGAACAATTTCATCAGTTCACCTTGCAGCCATACTTCTGCTAAAGGTCAAGAAAAGGATGCCCTATAAGGTCAGCCAATCTGTCCCCACCCACACGTAATGCTTACTGCAAAACAGATCCAGCTGCGCGCTGAGTGTGAGGGTAATGGGCAATCAACAGCCCTCTGGGTAGAGCTTTGACCCTCTGTAGAAGGACATGCGTACCGACACACAATTTCTAATAACATGACATCGCTTTGAATGGTGGGCAGCAAAAACAAGAAGCAGGCCATCCTGAGTTGCTCCTTTCGAGCATAAATGATGCCAGGCTGCCACTAGGCAGAGGCAGAGGTGAGAGAAGGTTTTGCCCCGCTCTGGGTGAGGAACCTGGCCATGCCATGTTCACGACAGGCAGCGCCAAACGCAGACACCGGGAGAGGAATGCAGAATCATTTCTTACTACCAAACCCTGTGATAGAAAACTACACAAAAAGGGGATTTTTAAACTCAAGACTGTTTTACCTGTTAAAACCGAGCTTGGCAAACCATTGCCTACGCGCCAAATCAAGCCAGAAGGCTGTTTTTGTATAGCCCTTGAGCTACAAACGTTGCTTTTTAGGTTCAGTTATAAAAGCACAAAAGTAATGAGACTATGGCCAGCAAAGCCTAGCATATTTATCGTTTGACCTTTACAGAAAAAGTTTGCAAAGCCCTAAGGTAAAATGCACAAAGAAACAGTTGAGATTTAGTTACTAACCTAAAAGTGGCTCTCATACATTATATATATATATATATATATATATATATATATATATATATATATATATATATATATAATTACTGGAGTTCAACATCATTTTCCAGACAAGGAGTAGTACTAAGTCCAGACCTCGCTACCTGATGTCTACTGGATGCGGCTCTTATGGTGTGCTCAGTTAGAAACTGGAAAAGTGTTCGCTAAGGGATGAAACAATGAAACTGGCTTTATTAAATTTCAGAACAACATAGAGATTACTCATGTAAATCACCTATTTTGTTTCTTTCTCCCAAACCATTCAGCAAGCAGACTATGCTTTTTTGTACTTTTATAAGACACCTATTATCACGTATTCTATGACAACCACCACTCATGGCTCTTTCTTTACATGTGTAATTTCACTTAGCCTCTTCACTCTCATAGAATTTTACCTTCATAAGGGATGGAGTGTTTTTCCTCCCTTTGTTCATTAATGAATCCCAAATGCCTAGAACAGTGTCTGACACTTAATTTTTGGAATTATTAATGGTGAGCACTAGCATCCCTCAGATGGGGAAACTGAGGCACAGGGAGGTTGAATGACTTACAGAGCCAAAAATCAACAGTACAAGGATTGAAATTTCCTTTCAGCCAAATTTTTTAAACTTAAGCTGGGACCTGAACTCAGGCAGCCTGACTGTGCGGTGGGAGTGAAGTGCCAACCACACTGACACGTCCCTCCGGAACATGTAGCTTTCCCTGAGCTGACCGCTCGGGCTTGTGCACCACGGCTCCCATCACAGCAACCAGCAGAGCCCGTCTACCTGATTCTCAGACGGATGGCCCGTGCTGTGAGAGAGCACACAGGATGCACTCAGAACGTCTGCAGGCACTCATCCTGGCAAGAGTGCCGCTGTCTAAAGTTTTGTGAACAACATTTAAGTGCAAAACTTGTGACAAATCCTTTTCATTTTAAAGGAAGAGCTGCTATGTGACTTACATACTTTATGTGTAACTAAGTTCTGCAAGTTGGAAATCAGAGGCAAAAAAACCAAACCAAACCAGTCCAAAAAGGAAACATGGCCGGGACAACTACAAAGAGAGAAAGCCTGGCAGAGTGAGAGGGACGCAGGAACCCTAAGCTGTGACAGACAGGAGCTCAGTAAGTGCTGGAGAAGACGTGGAAAGTGAGACAAGCCTTCCTGGGTTGGACAGGCCGTCTTGGTTTCTACACTAGGAAGAGCCAACAGGAAAGAGGCAAGGAGCACAAGTCATAAAGACGATGGCTGTAGACGGATGAACACTTTAGACGCAGGGGGCTCACATGGTGTACGGACAGGAAGGGAAATAAGGCATCTAGGTCAGGGTACGGGTGGGGACTGTGGGCTCCATCCCCAGTGTGGGGCGTGCAGGAGGCAGCAGATCAATGATTCTCTCTCATCATGGATGTTTCTATCTCTCCCTTCCTCTCTGAAATCAATAAAAATATATTTAAAATAAAAAAGAAACACACAGCCGAAACCGGTTTGGCTCAGTGGATAGAGCCTGGGCCTGCGGACTGAAAGGTCCCGGGTTCGATTCCGGTCAAGGGCATGGACCTGGGTTGCGGGCACATCCCCAGTGTGATGTGTGCAGGAGGCCGCTGGTCAGTTTCTCTCTCATCGATGTTTCTGGCTCTCTCCCTCTCCCTTCCTCTCTGTGAAAAATCAACAAAATAAACACACACACACACACACACACTCAAAGTAGCATCTCTAAAGAGGAAACGCAATCCCGTCTCCTGACCTAACCAAAGAAGCCTCCCAAACTCTCCCCTTCGCCAAAAAAGTTGAACGGAGAGAAGGTCGGAGCAGCTGGGCAGGAGGGACCTGCTCCCAGCGGGGCAGGATGAGGAACTGGCGGGTCCCCGGGTCCAGGCCCCGCACAGGGCCCGGCCCGAGGGCCCCGCCCCGCCCGATTCAAACGCGGCGGCGGGCCGGGCGCCTTCACTCCACCCGCACTCAGCTCCACCACCGCCACCTGGGCTGGACTGGCTGGGGACAATAAAATAAAATAAAATAAATAAAATAAGAAGCTAGAAAGCCGCCCAGCAGCGGGGATGGGCCGGGAGGGGATGGCTCACCCCGATCTCCAGGCAGGTCTCCCTCCGCCCGCGGCGGGGCCCCCCGCCCGGACCCGGACCCTGACCCCTGACCCCTGACCCCCGCCCCCGCCGTGGCCCCCGCCCGGACCATGACCCCTGACCCCCGCCGTGGCCCCCGGCCCCCGCCCCGCGATCGCCTCACCAGCGCGAGCAGCGCAGCAGCAAGTCCAGCCGGCGGAGCGCGGCGCGGCTGTGGGCCCAGGCGCCGGCCGCCGGCTCCATGGCGGGCGCGGGCGGCGGCCGGTTCCCGGAGCGGACCCTCAGGTCCCGGCCCCCCGGCATCGCCCCGCCGGCGCGGACGGCTCCTCGGACGGCGAGGCGCGGGGGCCCCGGAGCCCGACGCGGACGCCGCGGGCCTGCGAGCGGAGCCGACCCCTCCTGCAGCCCCGGCGGCTCCGGGTCCGGGCGGCGGGCGCCGGGGGCGGGGCCGGCGCTGAAACCCGCCAAAAGCCCGCGCGCCGGGCGGGGGGCGGGGCCGGGGCGCGCCGGGGCCTGTGGGCGGGGTCTCCTAGTGAAAGGGGGCGTGGTCTACAATGCTCCGCCCCTTCTTGGGCCGCGGGGCGGGGCCGGCAGTGAAATTCGCCAAAAGGCCGTTCGCCGGGCGGGGGGCGGGGCCGGGGCGGGGGCGGGGCCTCGGTGTGCGCAGAGGGTTCTCTGGGCGGGGTCTCTAGGCGGAAGGAGCGGGGTCGATAACGCTCCGCCCCTTCTTGGGCCGGGGGGCGGGGCCGGAGGTGAAACCTGCCAAAAGCCCGCGCGCGGGGCGGGGGGCGGGGCCAGGGGCGGGGCCTCGGTGCGCGCCGGACAGCCTGTGGGCGGGGTCTCTGAGTGGAAGGGGCGGGGTTATGTAACGCCCCACCCCTTTGGGGCGGAGGATTTAAGGTAAACAACCACATGAGAATGAAGAAAGTGCTTGCTTTCCTGGCACAGGGATAGCCCCTCCTCTGAACTTAACCCCACGCCCGAGAAGCCCGTAGCTGAGTGTTACCTACACGTGAGGAGTGATGTTTCCGTTCCTGCTGAGCTTGGGAAAGCTTTGATCTTGACACTGAAAGTGCCACTCCCTTTGCTCCCAAGAAATAACTTTTTTCTGGTCTGTTAAAGCGTGTGTCTAGCTGAGACCGGTGTGGCTCAGTGGATAGAGCATCGATCTGTGGACTGAAGGGTCCCAGGTTCGATTCCTGTCGGGGGCATGTTCGTTGGTTGAGGGCACATTCCTGGTGTGGGGTGTGCAGGAGGCAGCTGGTGGATGTTTCTCTCTCATCGATGTTTCTAACTCTCTATCCCTCTCCCTTCCTCTTTGTGGAAAATCAATAAAATATATATATTTTTTAAAAAAAGAGTGTCTCTCTCCTCATGAGGATTTTTCATTGAGCCATAATTTGTAGATAAATCTATTGAGTTCTTATGCTTCTGGACTACCAAAAATCCTTGCATCATTTTCCCTTAACTTACTCTCAAATCTACCCACTTCCCCCCATCTTCACTTTACAACAGGCCCATTTGCCTTATGCTCACTGGGACTGTCCCCATAGCCTTCTAGCTAGTATCCCTGTGTCCCCCCCAAATTCCCTTCAAGCTTCAGGCTACACGGCAGCCATCTAAAACATTTCCCAGTGAGCACTTGGTTCGTACAAGAAGAATGAATCAAACTAAATAAAATTCTATAAGGTATTTTGACTGACCTATGATAGCATCGTAAACTTTTTTTTTTAAACTCAGATATAGCCAAGAAGTTAACCTTTTATTATTAACCCTGTTAAGCCATTGTTTTTGCAGAGCCTCAGAGATCTCAAACTCTAGAAAACTTGAAATGTTAAGTAAACTTGGAGAGAGGGTACGGAGTGTGATGGAGTAAACTGGCGACTTCAGGAGCCAGGCCGTCCCACTTCTAATCCCATTTCCCCCGCTAAATAATGGCGTGACTGAAGGGTTGATGCTTGGTTTTCGTGGAGATGGTATATGTGTTTTTGAATTACCTTCTCCTCTCAGCCCTGATTCCTGAATTTGAAAAACCATGTCTTGCCGAAGCCGGTTTGGCTCAGAGGTAGAGCGTCGGTCTGGGGACTGAAAGATCCCAGGTTCGATTCCGGTCAAGGGCATGTACATTGGTTGCGGGCACATCCCCGGTAGGGGGGGTTCAAGAGGCAGCTGGTCGATGTTTCTCTCTCATCGACGTTTCTAGCTCTCTATCTTTCTCCTTTCCTCTCTGTAAAAAAATCAATAAAATATATTTAAAAAACAACAAAAAAAAGAAAAACCATGTCTTTCTCCTATATCCCTACATGTGTGCAGGTAAAAGGTGGGCATCCTGTCCAGGATGAGGCACAACAATAATGTTTAAAGTCCTAGAACTCTACAAAAGAGAAAAAGGGATCCCAGGTATGGGAGAACATATTTGCCATTGATACAGCTGATAAGGGGTTCATTTCTAAAATATACAAGGAACTCCTACAGCTCATTAGGCAAGGAAATAAAGTCCTAGAACTCTGGCCCCAGAGGAACACTTCCCCCGGGAAATCCAGTCCAGCTGTGGGGTCTTGGTGCAGTGTTTCCCAAACTTTTGACATATGTGCACCCCTTCTATAATTTTCGTAACGCTGAGTACCCCTCGTACTCATGAGAATGTAGAATTAGGCGCAGCTAAGCACGGTGCAGTGCATATCCCCACCAAACTACGGTGCAACGCGTACCCCCACCAGACTCTTCCCGTACCCCTGGGGGTACTCGTACCACACTTTGGGAAACACTGGTAGGGCATTAACAATATCCTCTCTTCACTTTAAAGAGGGCTTGCCAGCGGACAGAAGGTTCCCGGGTTTGATTCTGATCAAGGGCACATGCCCGGGTTGCGGGCTCCATCCCTAGTAGGGGCCATCCCTAGTAGGCGCTAGGCAAGTGGTAGCTAATCAATGATTCTCTCTCAGCATTGAGGTTTCTATCTCCTTGTACCTCTCCCTTCCTCTCTGAAATCAGTATATATATATATATATATATATATATATATATATATATATATATAATAAAAGGAGCATAATGGTATCTTATTTGCCTTTTCTTTTCCTCCTGAGTTCATCAAAGTTTAACTTTATTGCTCCATTTCACTCCTAGTCTGTTCTCCTCCTTCTTCCAATTAAGCGTATTCCCTTGTACTTTACACTCTTTCCACATTATTCATTCCACCCCAGTTTAACACTGCAGTCCCATGGGGATTTGGAAGCGGACAAATTGGCTTGCATTAGCCTGTTTACTCAGCCTTCTCTCTCCATGCCCTCTACCTCATGCTTTGATTACAATACTCCAAAGACATCTCTGGCCTGGATCTCCTTCCTGATCTCCAGGCTCAATGTAATGGTTTGTTGAAAACAGTCTAAATGCTAATTTTTTTGTCTTCTGTTGTGAAGTATTGCATAAAGTAGTAAATCTTCCTCATATTTACTTGGATAAACATATAAAACAAGCAAAATGGGACACAGAATACTCAGACTTTATTTCCTTCCGTGGAAGGTGAAGCTCTCTCACAAATTCCACATGTACACTGACTCTCCTCTGGCATTTAATTATGGTGTGATACATGTGAAAGAAAAGAGCCACATGCTAACCTGACAAGCTCAGGGAAGGCCTGTGTGGCAGTCTTGCAAACCCAGAGACCTAAGATAACCACAAAAGATGGTTTGAAAATTAAATATCTAACAGGTTATAGTAGGTAGTCATGTCCCAGATATTTTCCCAGACAAAGATCAACTTTGATCTTTTTACTGAGCCCATTTGCCTTTTTGCCTCTTAGATAACCTATCTGTGAGATGTCTGAGTAACTTGTAACTTCCCTTTTTCCGGAGCCCCTGGGGCACAACCAAATATGGTGGGCGCCCAGACAGATGCCTCCAATTCCTTCTTTATCATGTTAATTGCAATCCCAGGGGTTTCCCACCGCTTTGCTTTCTCCCGCCTCCTTACTCCATCACCAATGAATTTCATGTAACCCACCTATGTCCCTCCTTTGATTTAAGTGTATAGAGAAATGTAATCCGCCATTCTTTGGAGCATTATCTCAATCCATTGAGGTTCTGTTTCCTGGCATATAAGGCTCAAATAAACTCACAAAAAAGTTCTTTACAGGTTTCAATGGATGGTGTTTTTTTTTCGTTAACATATGGTAGGATTGACCATTTGAACTCTTGAGCACATTTTCTTTGTCAGATATAAATTTTGGTTGCAAGAGTCTCTTTCAAGAACCCTAGCGTTTTGCTTGGCGGTTCATGTCAACCTATGAACCAGGAGGTCACAGTTCAATTCCTGGTCAAGGGCACATGCCCAGGATGTGGACTCCATCCCTAATAGGGGACCTGCAGGAGGCAGCCAATGAATGATTCTCATCATTGATGTTTTTCTCTCTCTTTCTCTCTCTCTCTCTCTCTCTCTCTTTCTCTCTCTCTCTCTCTGACTCTCTCCCTTATTCTTCCTCTCTGAAATTAATAAGAATATATTTTAAAAAGAAAGAAACTTAAAGTTTTCCCCTCCACCCATGCCAAACAAAAAAATCTAAAAATTCAGCTTGAGAATAAGTGACAGAGAGTAATCAAATGTGATAACTGACTGAGTGATGCTGGAAACCAAAACATTGTCACTAATAGAGAAATGTGAAAAGGAAATCCGGAAGTCTGGCCAGCCTTAATGGCTCTGAATGGTCGAAGCTAATCACTCATTGTGAGGTGGAGACATTGGTAGTTAAAGCAACCTCCACCTGTTAATGTAAATTCTTACTGATTGTCTGTTATTGGAATTTCCTGCCCAAAGGATATGGGTGTTTCCCATGGCCTCAATAAAAAGGATAGGAAGGCCAGAGCAGTGTTAGACCTTCCCCTAGAGGTGGACTCCTGCCTGGCCCCCAATTCCCCAAATCATCTCTTTTCTAGTCTCTTTCATTTGTGTGCGGCCTTCTCCAGAACATGGAACCCTGAACAGGAACCCTGAACCATGCAGGACGTGGAAGGGGCTCCCACAAGGCTCACAGTATCTAGGAGTGTGGTGTCTGCTCTCCACGTTGACCAAGCTGGCCATCCTACGTAAGAAGGCCATTAACCAAAGTTAAAGTCATAAGCTCTGTGCTATGATTTTTTTTCTGGAGTCCAGAGTGGCGTCATGATTCCTTGCATAAAGCTCTGGGGTCGGGCAGAACTGGGTTACAAACCAAGCCTTGCGATTTCCTAGGACTGAGTCATAGGTGTATGGTTTAACCTGTCTTAGGACTTGGTTTCTTCTTTTGTAAATTTAAGGTTAATGTAAACTGGTCTCATACTTTTTTTTTTATTAAGGTATTCTATGTGTACATATCTTACCATTGGTCTCATACTTATAGCGTTGCCGTGAAAGCATTTGCAAGTTATGAAACTGTCCTAAACCAAGACGTGCAGCTCAACCG